AGAGCTCCCGATGTGGGGAGAGTGCATGGGCCACACCAACCTGCTAAGAGACAAGGCGATTTCCTGAGGTTAGCTCATGCACGGGCATTATTTTGTCACGGATCAGTCTCATGAGCTTGTGGAAGGTGCATCTGTCCTCAAGAGACAGACTATCACAGCCCACTATCTAAGCCTGGAAACCCAAGGGCTACACTATGCCCAGCGGGGTAGATATCCCCCTGGGACTTTCCAGGGCATAAGACACTGGATTGAGGCTGTTCATCCTGACAATGGACGGTGACAGGAGGCAGACAGCACAGTGATACACAACAGGACTGTTGTTCTATTGAAGGATGGTTTTGGCATTTTACTTTCTGGTTTCCTTTAAGCAAATTCCTTAACTTCTCTGAGCCTCTTTTTCCTCATCTACCAAACAGGGTGATAAAACTTCAGATTGATTTTTGGCTCAATATTTAAACAAAGAGCAAGATCCCGGAAGATGTTACACCAGAAAGCCTGCCCTGTCCCACCTGTTCCACACTACCTCCCCAGTCCTGACTCTGCAGGTCCACCTGCTTTTCACGACCAGTCAGAGGCAAGTGCAGCATCCTTCTCAGACTTCACTGCCTCCAGAAGCCTTCCAGAAGTGTTCTCTACACACTGCTCATCATACTGCTTTCTCATCTCTTCTCTCAGACTTGAAAATTGCCCTCTGAGCAAATCATCTCCTAGGAAAGGCAGTTACGGCTTTAAGGGAGCCACATTAGTCTTTACCCCTGTGGGACAATTTTATGTACTTCAAAACAGCCATCACGTCCCCCACCCCCACCCCCACCCCCAGCCACCTCAAAGACATCGTGTTCTTCAAGGATCCCCTGTCTGAGAACCAGCTTGTTAATAACAAAATTATTCCAGGTCTTACTGTTCTCTCATCTAGGAAATAAACATGCTTTTAAAACATGACAAATCAAATGGTGTTTGGAGACCATATTAACCATCTTCACTGCACTCCAAAGAACAACTCGAGACACATAGAGAGCGGATTTTCAAAGAAGTGTTTTCTTGACCCAGTTAAATTTTTATTCAGTGAAAAAAGTTGACATTGAGACAAAAATGATCTTAAGACTGTGTGACAATAGAGTAAAATCTTCAGCATAAACCAGTGATTCGAAAACTTATCAAGGCAACTGAAATCATAAATATCTAATTTCACTTTGGAGAGAAACAAGTATACAGTGTTTCACTTGAAGAGCAGAGTAGGCCTTTATTTTGCTGCAAATACTTTCGATTTATGCCTAAAGGTTCTAATAATTCATAACAAGAGGTTTTAAGTGAGAAGTGACATGGAATATCGGAGAACAATGTTACATTTCAGCATTCATATCTGTTCCATTTGAGCTATTACACAGGAAACTAATACCATTCTTGGGTTACTTGGCTCTGAAGATTTAATTCAAAATATGGCTGCTCAAAATTAGTGGGCAGAAACATACATACAACCCATCCTCTCTCAAACCGTGCTCACTGGGGGTACCCCTTCTGAAAACACGCTTATCATCCATGTACCCAAAGCACACACAGTCTCTTGCTATCTGCTCCTACCTCAGACTTGCATAGAAAGTAGTCTATATAAACTTAATGCACTGGCTTTAATTACACAAAAGTTGTACCTGAAAGACAGCACACACTTCCTTTAAGAAAAATAATGCAATAGCAATGTCATGATACTATCCCCACACGAGTGGAGATTCTGCACAGAATTTTATTCAGTCAATTCCTAAAATCAATATGGAGGTGGTATCCGGTTTGCTGACTTGCCTGGGTCTTTTCTTGGAGGGACTCCCCCGCCCCCAGCTCTGCAAAGAAGAGAAACATCTCAGGGATTCACCATGACATTCTTTGTGGGAAAGTGACCAACCTAACCTGACAGGATGGGGTTTCTGCCCTTAGGGAAGTGCTGAGAACATGATCTCACTGGATGGACAGTGACCGCTGGGTGAATATTCAGAGGAAGGGTTCTCCAGTCTTCCTGCCCCAATTGTCCTTACATGGTTGAAGCAGAGCTTCATCCAGTGGGTCACACGTGAACATGCAGCTGTGTCCCACATGTGTCCCCCTAAAATACCCCACAGTACTAACACAGATGTACCCTCTTCCCCAAATCAGAAGTTTCAACCAGTTACCCAGCTTTGTAATTATACACCCAGCTTGCCAGGGCAGCCAGCAGTCATGGGAGCATCTCACCTGTCAGGAAAAGGTTCTGCATAGGCATGGTTTCTCCCGGACTCTCCTCTCTATTATTTCATCCACACAGACCCACATCTCCTAAGGCTTGAGGGGCAGTCAATCCATCCAGGGGCAAAACCAGCTTCCAGAGAAAATCTGTATACAGTCCCCCTGCCCACCATATGATAGCGGTCCACTGGCGGTCCATTGTCGTCCACGTGGATGCGCGCTTCTGACATCCCAATGCATCTTCGGAGAAAATAAAGCCTTTTATCCTGTACAGTGTGAACTCTGGAGGTGGCATCTCCAACGAGGTATGAAAGCCCCTTCTTCAGGGGCTCCAACTGGTCACAGTGAAGACAGTGATCTGGTCACCTTCAAAGGCTCCACGGAGTCTCTGTTCTCATTTCCTCCTGTCCCCCCCACCTCGGGACTCTCCCAGATGGCATATATACATCAAAACCTCACAAAGCTATGCAGAGGGAGGTGAGAGTGCGTGCTTCAAAAGTTCATAAAAATATACAATTTACACATAGCTGCATCTGTCTAGCTTAGCCTTCGGGAACTTAGCTCTTCTGTTTATATAAAATACTCTAGCCCTAAAAGGCTGCTTGTTCTCAAACAGCCCAGTGGCATTTTCCAAGGAGAGGGGTGATGGCCAGTCTATACAGTACGGTACGCTAAGCATTGACAGGCACTGGAAACAAGACTCGGACGCTCAGAAACATCTCAAGTTGCCAACTGGAGACATGAGCTTGGTAGAAAGGCTTGCCTATGGAAGAACTAAATATAAAATCTCAGCGCCTTTGATATCAGCTTTCACAAATGCCCTCCAAATTTGGCAGGAAAAAACAAGAAAATAGACTTTCTAGTGGTTCGATTAAATGACTTGCCTCCCACCAGATCATTCATCTTCAGTTACTTAAAGTGCTTATTTAAAAGGGAAGGTGGTAGGGCTTGGAGTTTTTGGCTTGGAAACTCCAAAGTAAGACACAAGATAAAGCCAAAGAAATGCCAATCTTTCAAAACATAACACAGGAAAGAGAAGGAAATCATGCTGGAAGAAGGCTAGTCATTTACCACCATTCGCAACATCCTAACATCTACAGTTGAAAACACTCCTCAAGCAAAACATATATATACACAAATAAAAAATTTTTTAACTAAAAACACTTTAATTGGCTCTTTGTTTCCCAAACACCCCCCAGGTAGAATAAAACTATGTTATCAGCCAAGAATGATACTCTTGGTTAAAAGAAAGCAAAGACTTGCGAGAGGGTGATGTGTTGCATCGAGGAGGAGACGGGGCTTTGACAAAGCCTGCAGGTAAGGGACATTATGCCAAAGCATGACTTTGGAATAGCCCCAGAGCTCACTGCTTCTCAGCTGGGAAGAACTTCTGCACTGAGGTGCATACAGTAGGCATCACAACAATCCTATACACTGAGGCTGACAACAGTAGGTCTCAAGAGCGGGCATCAGTCCCCAGTGGATCTCACATACCTACCAAGAGGCCATGGTTTGAATACAGGGGAGGCACTGAAAGGCAGAAGGATACAGCCCAGCTTATCTTACAAAGAACATCAATGCTAGCACTGCTGCTACTGTGAGCTAGAGTGAATGGTCTCGAATTCACACATCTCCTCTAAGAGTGCATAGCATTTTCTCTTAAAATTGGGCAGGGGTACAGGCGAGGGAGGTGGAAGAAGAGAATTTAAAAAAAGAGAGAGAGAGAAGGCACTGACCCAATCCAAAGTGACTGCATATATCAGTATGGATTTTTAAGGACAGTAAGCGGCCACCTCAACACAAACATAAAACTTTCCATTTGAGATTCTCCAGTGGTAAGTTAAAGCAAACCAAAAAATAAAATAAAATCCCCCCCAAAAGGAAAAATTAGGTACTATATCTGCCAGTGTAGCTATCATGGCACAGATCTAGAATTCTTTCCCACAGCCAGAGTACTTTTTTGCAATGACAATGATACCAGTGTAGAATAACGCAGTGTTATCATTCTGTAGCTGTGAAAGCTACGTCTTGCACAGAGGTGTGTGCAGCGAGAGTCCATCCACTAGCCTAAGAGAAGAAGGCCGCTTGCAGGGCTTCCCAAGCTGCAGCTCTGTTCAGCGGAAATGGAGCAATGGCTCAACAGGCTCTTCTACCAAACACCACTGTGTGACACACGAGCGGATAAAAATGGATTGTTTCCGGAATGGCAACAAAACTGCTTCTGCTCCTCATTGTCCAACCATGCAGGCGGGGGTGCTCGTAAATTTTGTGGTGTCAGAAGCCTGGCCCTACACAGAGTCCCAATAAATTAACAAAATAAAATAAATGTCCCCCCTTCATACACCTAAATACTTTCGTATAAACTACCTGCAAACAAAAATTTAAATTTGAGCTTACTTTCAAGGAGGAGGGGTTCTATCCATCACTCTCTCTTGAAGTCTTTATTAAATACATTTCTGCGTCTTAGAAAAATAAAAAGAATGGCCAATTTATTGAACCAAAATAATCTCACAGACTTAAAAGCATGCCCAGTAAGCACAGCCCTGTAGGACTATATTAATATCAAATCAAAGCAATTTGGTTACTAAAATCAACCTGGTTTGAAGTTCACAGTTGATTACGACAAAGTTTATTCATTCCTTTCTTTTCTTTTTTTTTTTGTTTTGTTTTTGGCCCATATAAAAATAACATATTGCAACTCAAAGTGCATCTTTTAAAATAAACCATCAACTATCTTTATCAAATAAAATATTTACAACATTTGGTTTCTAGTGAGGAAAGCTCTTTCAGGCTATCACCATGGGGACGTCGTCAGAAAATCCAGTTATCATCGGAGCATCTTCATCGTCCTCCCCTAAAGGCAAGACAGTCTTGGGTGAGTTCCAGGGCACTTCGGCCTGACCCCAACCTCCCACCACTGACCCCCATCCCTATATCACAAGTCTCAGCTACAAAAGTCAGCAGCAGAGCCAGCCAGGCACAAGAATCAGTGCTGAAACCAGCCCAGCTTCTGACATTCTTAGGTCACCTGTTCCCCATCAACAGGTGGCCAACCTTCTTTTCACGGTAGCTTGAACTTAACCAGAAAAGGAAAGTAAATTTAAAGAGGGGAGATCTTATTATCCATCCCAAATTCCAATGGGTGGCTTAGGCGCCCCGGTTTGAGTTATCCACACGCTATGCTAGCGGTGAATGTCACCGTCTGTTTCGCACACACCGGGTTGGCTGAAAAGTTCCTTCGGGTTTTACAGGTGTGGCAGGGGTACCTATTAATTGTAGTAACTCACAAGGTGTTAGTGAAATAACCAGAATTAATCTTTGACCGGCCAAAATAAAAATTGCCGGTCACAGGCATTAGTTTTTGCAAAAATTCCCCAGTCAGTAATGAGTTAAGCATATTTATTGAGTAGTTTACTGCCTCCAGGAGCATTTTGGCATTTGAGCACACATACATTTATGTGAGAACAGGGACATTTCCTTCCCTTCCCCAAGTCATATACCACTGATAGGTAAAAGAACGGCCAGGGAGGTTGTGCTAGCCAGGGGAGAGAGAAACAGCATGAGGGGAAGGGTGATTTGGACAGAGACCGATGAAGAAAGCATGGCTTTTTGTCAGTCAAGACAAACATCTCCAAAGATGTCAGACCTCCATCTGTGAGCGTTGAGAGGGGTCGGAAAGTCTTGAGAATCTGCTGCCACTCTGGGAACACCCAAAGCCAAGGAAGGGTCCACCCGTCCTTTGTGTAGACGGCAAGCTCCCACCTGTTCTTTGACAGAACCCCCCGTCTTGGGCATGCTATCGAACAGTTTTGTTCAGTCGCTCAGTCGTGTCCAACTCTTTTGTGACCCCATGGGGTATAGCCCACCAATCTCCTCTGTCCATGGGATTTCCCAGGCAAGAATACTGGAGTGGGTTGCCATTTCCTTCTCCAGGGGATCTTCCTGGACCAGGGATCAAACCCACATCTCCTGCATTGGCAGGTGGATTCTTTACCACTGAGCCACCAGGGAAGCCCCCACTGAACTGAGGACTGGTATTTTAATTTAGAAGCAACTGCAAAGTAAAGGGCTCCAACTGATTCACCCCAAAGCAGTGGGATCATCAGTTAATGAAGAACTCTGCTGACAACAAAAGACGAGCTACTCAAGGTAGGCAATTCCTCAGCAAGCCCCTGGCCTTGTGGGGCCTGCCCGGGAGGGAGAGCCGTGCGCCCCGCCCCACTCACCCAGGTCATCCCCCGAGGAGAAGATGGCCGAGCCCAGCCTGGAGCTGTAGTGGCTGTTGGCAAAAGCCGTGAAGCTGCTCTGTAGCCTCCGGTGCTTTGCGTACAGGACGGCAAAGCCGACGCCCAGGCTCAGCAGGATCAGGAACAGGATGGGGACCACCACGGCAGCGACATCGGTAGATCTGGCGGCCTGGATCACTGACGCAGCGCCACCTGCCAACGCAAGACACCAACCCGTAAGGCTCCCAGGGGAGGGCAGGAGAGGGGACCAGGCAACCCCTCGCCGCCCCAGCCACCCAAATGATGCCAAGAGTCTGCAGCAGCTCCCCGAATCGCCTGTCCCATGTGGCACGTTCCTGCATGTGACACCCGAATGTTTCCCCACTCCTCACCACGAGCTGATGGAGGACAGGCCTCATGCGTGCAAATACGGTAATTACATCAGGCTCCTAATCACTGCCTCGTTGGTTATTTAGATAATCTCTTGGAAGGGAGACCTTTGTTGGGGTATCAACACTGATTTCATTAGCATTATTACTTAAGACCACTTGCTTGCCTTACATAAGAGGATGTGAAATCAGACCACTAATTAACGAGATTGCAATTATTTCCCCCTACTTGGCACCAAAGTCACTCTGAACTGCAATTACCTGAAGCTCCATTAAGTGATACAAATGAGATTTCTTTACTGCAGTACTGACTTCACAGCTCGGGAAGTTTTATGAGGTTTATTTTTTACTTAAAAGAGAAAGAGGGAATCTTTCTATATACATTTAACATTTTTTAAAAGCTTTCTGCAAAGCCTTTTGGGTGTCTATAACCTATCAGTGATGCTCCCCCTTCCCACTGTCTTCAACAAAAAATACTAGCTTTATCCAGATATACTGATACAGTTGTAGCAACAGGACTCTGTTCGGTTTGGGCCAGTCTTTCTGCAAAGGGCAGATTTTGCACAGCAGAAATCCTGGGGAAAGTCTGAGCCTGCGGCAGGAATACAGTCATGTGAGTAAGTTTTAGCTAAGGAAGCAAAGCGAACTTCCTTGGTCTCCATGAGAAGCCTTACGAGGCTTGATGCTGTTCCCTGGTGCAGGGTGAGGAGATGGGGCCAGTCCCCCTCCTCGTGGGGAAGTTCGTTAGTTACACAGGGGTTCATCACAGCAGGTCCCCACAAAGATGAGCCAGAGAGCAGCCATTTCCTGCAAGCCTGATATAACAATTCAATATCCGTGTCTTTAATTTCTTCACTATTGATTTAATACTAGACAAAACTCTCCCCAATCTCAGTCACGTGTCCCAGCCTAATCTCAACTGTGAAGTGGTAAACAGGGAAAGCTCTGGGCTGGAGCAGTTAAGAGGAAGCCAGCACGGCGGAGGCGACAGAAATGGAGCCCGTTCCCACCCCCACCCACCTCCAAGGGGACGTGAACATCACAGGGCAGGATGTGGTCCAAGGAAACATCTACCCGAGCAATTCTCCCACCTGACGATCCTGGTTTTACAAAGGCAGCTGGCACATGCCCTCAAAGCAGTTTTCCCCAAAGTCTATTTCACAGGTTGTTACTTGGTTTTACTTTAAAAGGAGGCTCTGCTTAAGATACACTAAGACAAGAGCTTGGTTGATTGTTTTCTGTAGGACGTTTTCAGAACCTCAAACAGGCTCAATTCTCCGAAAGGATGTGATGTACAAGGTTTCCCTCTTCTTTACTTTATTTTATTTTACTTATGTATTTATTTTTGGTCATGCTGGGCCTTTATTGCTGTGCATGGGCTTTCTCTAATTGTGGCGAGCGGGGGCTACTTTCCAGTTGCAGTACGTGTGTTTCTTATTGCAGTGGCTTCTCTTACTGCGGTGGTGCATGGGCTCTAGGCACACAGGCTTTAGCAGTTGCAGCGCTCAGGCTCTAGCGGGCGGGCTCAGTAGCTGTGTGTGGTGCATCCTCTTGGCTGCTCCCAGGCATGTGGAGTCTTCCTGGCCCAGGGATGGAACCTGCATCCCCTGCATTGTCAGGCGGGTTTCTGTCCACCACGTCATTAGGAAAGTCCCAAGGTCTCCCTCTTTTAGAGAGATGCCAAGGATAAGGTATTCCACTAGAAGCCACCCCAGGAAAGGTGAAGGAACAGACAACAGGCCTAACATAAGACTCTGAGCTTAAGAACTGGTTGGTTGTCAACTGGGAGTAAATGTAACTAAATAGACCAGTGGCAAAACATCTGCTGAAATCCTGGATAAGCTATTATGACCTGAGCAGAATTTCTGTGTAAATGGGAGGTTCCTCTCCCTTGCCATAAGCATGGCCCCACACGGCTGTCTGTGAGTGTCCAGAAGACAGAGATCCCAGAGATCTGAGGGTGACAGCAAAGATGAAGGGAAGGCTGGGAAGTCAGTGACGCTGTGATGAGATAATCTATTGACTTGGAAAATCATGGGGACTATTAGCATACTAGAGGCTCTGAAAGGTCCTCCAGAAAATAAAAATAAAACTCATTAAGCTATGGCTTCCCAAACAGAATCTCCTTTTTAAATAAAACATTTCCTTTCTTCTGACTTACATTCAGAATATGGTCACCTTGTAACCCTAGCACCTCACACCATGCCTGACTAGGGAAGGATTTGTTAAATAAATCAATGCCTGATTAAGCTGATGCATAAACAATTTTCTTTAGCACTGCAAGAATATTTCAAATGCATTTTTAGAAAGACACATGTTCATCAAGGATTTCCCAGGTGGCGCTAGGGGTAAAGAAACCACCTGCCAATGCAAGAGACATGAGACGCGGGTTTGATCCCCGAGTCAGGAAGATCCCCTGGAGGAGGGCATGGAAACTCATTCCAGTATTCTTGCCTGGAGAATCCCATGGACTGAGGAGCCTGGAGGGTTATAGTCCATAGGCTCGCAGTCTGACATGACTGAAGCGACTGAGCATGCATGCACGTGTTCATCAAACCATGCTACATCCTTGATATATTTCCTGGGAAATGGAGCAACAGTGACTTACCAGACCCCAACTCATCATAAAGCAGGACTGCAGGCTCCCCACAGATCTGGCTGCCGAAAAGACATCGGGCTTGGACAGTGAAAGTATAATTATGACCCAATTTCAGGTTGGAAATTTTAAAGAAATTGTCAGTAGTATTTCCAAGGTAAGCTGAGATATTCATGACACTATCAAACATGTGTATCTCGTAGCCCTGAAAACAAACACAGGAGGGACTGCTCAGGAAGTTAAACAAGGAAATGGGCAGCTTCTATTACGGGTTACAACTTTACATGAGCTCTTTTCTGCAGGGACTTATAGATGTTAAAGCACTTTGAGTTTCATACAAGTTTTTTATACATTATCACTGAGATTAGATTCAGAAAAGGTATTTTCTCAAACTCAAAGTCTCAAATAACTACCACATCTGCTTCTGAGCCATGCAGCAGAAGTGGAAAAACGAAAGTCATTTTAACAAACACTGATTTTTCAAAGTTCTGGTCGGTTCACTCATCTCCAGGAATGTTTAAATGCCACAAAGAATCCATACAGTTAAAGCAACAGTTCACTGTAATGGGACTGGACTAATCCAGGCAGCAGTGGATTCCAGCCCTGAGGTAAAAAAAAAAAAAAAGGAATTTGCAATCGTGAAAATGAGACACTGCTCCTTAAAACAGCCTGTGGGAACTGCACTGTCAGCTGCCAGCTCACTTCCTAGCTCCTTTCTTTTCGACTCTTCCAAGCTGATCATAGCCCCAGCCCAGCCTGGCCTTGAACCCAGCAGCACTGCAGCAGCTCAGATCTATTCACTGGGGGAGTATGGAATAAGCTGCCTACTTAGACTGGCTCAGGGCGAGTCCTTGGCTCCTGTGCTGGAAAAGTCCCTCTTGGAACAGCCCAACCTAGCATGCTGGCTGGGATCAGGACTGACTTCCAGACTTCGAGGTCAGTCTCCAAGTTTTCCAGTGTCAGAGCTAACGGCACCTCCCCTGCCCCCACAAAACCCCTTCTCCACTCTATCTCTACTCACATACTGGGCCCCACAGCATAATCATGATCTCCTGGTTCTTCTGTTGACCTGCACCTTCTCTGAACTCCAAGTCAGGCAGCAGGAAGGACCCATCCAGCTTAGGCCAGAACCCCCCAGTGGGAATGGAACACTGACTGCAAGCCCAACCTTTATAAAGCTGGGCTCCTGCCACCCTGATGACAACGGGGTGTCCTGGATCAGCTGCCTGGAGTCCCCGCTCCTACATTCTTGTTTATAAACTAGTAGCTAGCATTTATTATTTTCTATCTAACATATATGTGGTATAGGACATTTGCAAAACACACAAAGGTATTAAAAAAAAATGGAAAATGATACAAACGCTAGCCACCCAAAATTGACGGACTGATCCTTTTCTGGTGGGCATTAGGGTGTCTCTTCTTAATTACTGTCATAAAGAAAATTCTTTATGTACATTTCTTTCCTTAGAGTAAAATCCTAGAAGAATTGCTGGATCAAAGGATGTCACACTTTCAATGTTTCTGATACCTACTATAAGTGCCCTATAGAAGGTGGAACCCATTCATTCTCCCAGGGGCATCCTCCTCCCAGCTATGACTCTTACTGGTACTATCCCTCCTGAAAACTTTTGTCCATGTAGTGTGAAAGTGCTGTGTCTTTGATGCAAGTTAAGATTTCTAGTGGGGCTAAAACTGTTTTCTTTTGCTCACTGTTGCTTGAAACTTTTAACTTTGTCACCTGTACCTTATTCAAAATGAGAATAAGCTGACCCTTGAACAATGTGGCAGTTGGGCTCTGACCCTCTGAGGAGTCAAAAACCTGAGAATGACTTAGGAGTGCATCCTCTGGATTCACAGTTCTCCATCTTTGGATCCAACTATCTGCAGATTGTCTGGTATATTAAGTCCCCTACACACAAACGAGTTCCATTCAGAGAGTGCGTTTATAAGTCCAATTTGTTCGTTAAGTCCAACAAAGTTAGCCTAGATATCCGACTAACACAGCTGGCTCTATAGCACTACTTTTACGCTTCCCTCTGGACATTCCAGGGATTCCTTGGTGGCTCAGTCAGTGAACAATCTGCCTGCAATGCAAGTGGCCTGGGTTCAATCCCTGGGTCGAAAAGATCCCCTGGAGAGGGAAATGGCAACCAATCCAGCATTCTTGCCTGGGAAATCCCACGGACAAAGGAGCCTGGCGGGCTACAGTCCACGGGATCGCAAAGAGTCGGACACAACTTAGCGACTAAACCATCCACAACTGGACATCCTGAGCTGGAAATAAAGATGCTGTACTATTGTACTCTATACAATGAAAAGTGAAAGTGTTAGTCACTCAGTCATGTCTGACTCTGCAACCCCACGGACTGTAGCCCGCCAGCCTTCTCAGTCCATGGAATTCTCCAGGCAAGAATGCTGGAGTGGGTACCACTTACCTTCTCCAAGGGATCTTTCTGACCCAGGATTGAACCTGGGTCCCTTGCATTACAGGCAGATTCTTTACTATCTGAGGCACCAGGGAAGCCCACTCTATACAGCACTGTACGTAAAGCACACAAAAGTGCACCACTTGTAGAGGATGCACATGTGACAACCACGCCAGACGTGTGGGCTAACTCACGTGACTGCACATGTGAGCCCACGTTCCAATCTCTGAAGTTCACAATCTGAAGGTTCATATGTAGGGGACTTACTGTACTGTAGGTTATCTGTGGAGGTACACAGATCAAATCTGCATTTTTCAAGGGTCGTTTTTTGGTTTTGAATTTGTTTGAAAGCCTTCTTTATACTTCTGTATATTAACCATTTATATGTCACTGTTGTGAGAGTTGTTAACAATTTTCACATTGAATTTCTCTTTGCCTCTGGCATTACACGGTGATGATTTAAAGCTGTTGGGGTCTTTGTGCACATCATACCCCAAAAAAGCCGTTGTTGATTTTTATTGTGTCTCTATTTAGCTCATGCTCTGCCTACAATGGAGCCAACCAGCTTCATTCAAGACCCTTGGGTGGCAAATCTGTTTCCAGGTGCCACATTCCTCCTTCTGTCTCCTGCTGTGAATATAGTAATTGGCCTGCTAATAACAAAACACAGTGTTTTTCGTATGTCAGCAGACTGTCTTAAAGCACTTCCTGTTCACTGGAAAGAAACTGATGAGATTCCAGGTTGGCAGTGCAGCTCGGTTCCCCAGTGCTGAAGCCATACCATAGCCTTGCTCTCAGACTGTCTGGGAAAGATGGGCCCTGGGTGCTGGTGCTGAGTCCCAGTCAAGCCCTAGGCAGCACAGTGAGGACTGCAGCCCATTTCCCTGTCTTTCAGGGGACGACCAGTTCACGACTGAAAAGGGCTCAGTGCAGAGATTCGCATCTTTAATGGGCAATATAAACATTTGGCTAATTAGCAATCCCACCGAAAATGGTCCTTTAATTCTCACGTTCACTCCCCTGCCCTATTCTTTCTTTTGACTCTGTCTATGCCAGCAGGCTGTTAACGAGCTCATCTCCAAAATGGCATTTCAATTAGATTTCCAAAGCCATTGAGAAGGAGGGAGGAACTTACCCTGCTTTCATTAAAATACTTTTCTTTCAAAGCTAGGCTTTTCCAAAACAGAAGGACGTGGTCATTTTCTGTTATGATTTTTAAGGCATCAGGTGCTAATAATGAAACTGAAAATGAAAGATGAATTAGGAGACAGTTAGTGGCTACACATATGAGTCTCTGCTTTCTTGTCCATCAAAGGTTGATGAAATAACACTAACCCTAAAGGAATTAGTTAAGGAAGAAAAAAAACACACATATATCCACGTAGCATAGAGCCTAGCACATTCTACACACTCTTTAACTGACATCTACTTTGTTGTTATAATTGATGTCTTTAGCCAAGAAATTTGGATGATGTCTAATTTAGTAGCCCTCAGACCCAAACATGGTCAAAAACAAATGGCAAAGGGGTGAAGCTGGACTAGTTCAAAGCCTGCCTGCACTTCTGCTCTGGTTCCAGTCTGCCTTCCTGCCTGAAATTCCAGAGGGGCTCAGTGAGGGCCTAGAGAGCTCAGCCTGAAGATAGAGCTCTGGAATGACCAAAAAGTATGTTCCAGGCCCACAGTCCATACTGCCAGCCTCCGATACTGTTACTCCTGATGTTGTCTGCTGCTGTCCAAATAACTGGGCTTACTACCTGCTCTGTGAACCTGAACCTGACCTGAGCCAGCCTATGGCCAGCAGCAAATCACCCTTTAAGGTATTAGCCAACTCCTGATCTCTGTCCATTTCTGCATCTGATATTGTCCTAGAAACCACAGTGACTTCAGTCCAGGTACCCAGATGCAATGTTTGGCTTTATGGGGCAAAGATTCAGTTTCATTTCCTAACTCTCTTGGAAATATCAAAACCAGCTAGGGGAAGGGAGACCACAGGGGACAGAGAATATAGAAAACGACAGCCACTCCCCCGCCCACGGTGCCCCTGCCACCACCCTGCAGCCCAGAGTCTGGGACCCCTGACAGCTCTGCCCCAACCGAGATATGGAGGGTCCTCTCTGCACTTCCTGGGCAAGTCCTGATGGAAACCCCATGTCTTCCAAGAAAATAAAAGACGAAAAACAGAAATGCCACACCTCGAGAAGTCCTAGCAGCAATGGGGTGCCCTGCTGTGTGAGAAGGCCGCTAATCTCTCGCCAGCTTACCCGTGGTAATTTTGATACTGGAGTCTTTGCTCATGTTCCCCAGCTGGACAATGATGTGATATTTCCCTCCAGGCTCCAACTTGTTCAGCGTGTATTCCACGGTACTGTTGCGAGATTTCACCTTGTAGCTCCTCTCACTCTTTCTTATTAGATCTTTAACTGCAATTGCATATAACTGGGACAAGAAAAAGACATCTCAATGGTAATCAGAAACCTGGCCTCTTCTACTCTTTGAAGTTCAGTGGTGGCCCATGCGACAGAAGTACGTCAGTGGCTGTGACCCCCAAAAATAATATTTTGGGTCACAACATCTGACTCTGGTTCTTTGGAAAGCCTCTGGGGTGGTCAGGTCCAAATTTACAACATGTATTCATGCACAAAAATGTGCAGAGAATTATCAGCATGATCCCAAAAAAAAACCCACGTCCCCGGAGATGGCAGGAATGGCAAGGGGATGGAAATCAAAGCAGCCTGGGAAAGCGAAAGTGGGAGATGTTTCTAGAATCAATGCCTCTTCTGTTAGGGTCAGTTGTTTAGATGGTAAGTTGTATCAAACTCTTGCAACCTCAAGGACTGAAGCCCACCAGGATCTTCTGTCCATGGGATTTCCCAGGCAAGAATCCTGGAGTGGGTTGCCATTTCCTCCTCCAGGGGATCTTCCAAACCCAGGGATCAAACTCATGCCTTCTGCATTGGCCAATGGATTCTTTACCACTGAGCCACCGGGGAGCCCTCTCGTAGGGCAGGGGCCAGCAGACTTTTTTTGTAAAGGTTCAGATTGTAAATATCTTAGGCCTTGAAGGGTAGATGGCATGAACCACAATTACTCAACTCTCTTTGTAGCATGAAAGTAGCCATAGAAAACATGTAAACAAAGGGGCATAATTTGGTTCTAATAAAACTTTATTTATAAAAACAGGCAGTGGGCTAGACTTAACCTGCAGGCCAACTGCTGGTGAAGGCGGAGAAAAGGAGGAACAAACCAATATAGCAGCCAGGAATAACGGAGACACGACAACAAAGAGGAGATACCTATGAGGACCCTGCCTCTGGCGAGACAGAAATGGGGGGGAACCTCCTGCTGAGCTCCATGCACCAGGCCTAGGTGTCCTGCCCCATTACAGGACCCCCCTGCCCCCAAACCAAACCACATCCAGAATAAGCAAGGTCGCCAGCACGCCTGGCCTGCTCACCAGGTCCTGGTCCGGAGAATCGTACGGGGATTCCCACTTGATAACAGCAGAGGTTTTGCCCATGTGCACCACGTGCAGGTGACGGGGAGGAAGCCTGCTATCTGGGATCATCCTCACCACAACATAGTCAGAGGAGGGCCCCTGGTAAGGCACCACCACCCGGACCTGAAATAAACACCACTCAAACTCACACAGTGGTCAGCAGATCATTTTTTCCCCAACAACACAGTGACACACGTACACAATTAAAATTCAGTGTATACAAAAAAGCAGAATACGTCCCCATCTACCCCAGATCTCTAATCCATTTCCCACAGGCAGTACTAGTAATGATTTTACCTGCTTCCTTCCAGAAATGTCCTATGCAAATATAAGCACAAATACAGAGGGACGGGAGGGTGTGTGTATAGATACATACATACGTACATGTGTGTGCTTCTGCATGTGTGTGTATGTGTAACTTATTGCCCTTAACTTTTTTATGCAAATGGAAAACCATTACACACATAATTATGCTCTTTGGTTCTTTTACTTAATAATACAGCTTGGGAATTTTTCCCAAATCAGTACATTTCGTTTGCTGTATTTGTGTTGGACGACTGCCCTGTATTCCATCTCAAAGATAAGCCATAATACTTTTAACCAGTCTTCTGATAGATGTTTGTTTCAAATCTTTTGTTTTCACAAGCGATAGTAGTCCAAACATGACTTTCCATATACCTTGGCACACACGTAAAAGCATGGCTAAACTCCTAGAAGTGGAATCTGATACAAGCTTTCATCTATTCCTGAGACCCATTTACCAAGTTCTCAGTCCTGCGCAAGGGCGCTACCGATGGTTAAGTGGCCGTTTATTCTGTGCTTCAAGTAAAAACCTGATGCTTGTAGAGAATAACTATCCTCTCATCTCTCCTTCCCTCCTCCCACCCCCTTACACTCAACACGCGCGTGCATGTACACACACACACACGGATCTTGCAATCCCCATCTCCAGCTCCCCAGGTCCTAGGTCTGAGCTTGGAGCCTAGCAGTTAAGACCTCCTCAAACAATAAAACATTCCTCTGTGCTCCTGGCATTAAGAAACTCACCAGAAACAAATATTGCTCGTCCCCACCAACAAGGACTGTTCTGTTGTGCTGCGAAGTAGCCAAGCTCCTGGGGTTGCGATAGAGGTCAAGAAAGGACGTGGCATAGAAAATACCGTAAACCTGGTAAAAGGAGAGAGCAGAAAAGGGCACCAGTTCAACAGCCAGTGCCCTCACTCTCGTGAAAGCCCTGATTTAAGACCCTGGGAACCGCTCCACATGAGCTCACAGAGAAGCCTTCGTTCGGCATCTATTTCATCAGCGTTTACAGAGAAGGCACCCTGGGCCAAGCAGCGGCGTCCCACCTACGGAGATAAACAAGACGTGGTCTCTGTCCTCAGAGCTCGCTTTCTTGAGGAAAGCCAGGCAAAGAAGAAAACAGATTTGTAAATAACAAGTTGTAAATACGAAACTCCTGGAAGCTACACTAGAAGACTGAATGATAAGGTGGGGAAAAGAGGGAATGACCAAGAAGTGGGCACACTCTTCTAGTTCAGTGATGGGGGTAGCAAGCGTGAAAGCTGGTGGAGAGCGCATGTGGAGGGATGGCGGACACTGCCAGCTGCCCAGCCGGCCCCCGTCTTTTCCTCCTCCCGCAGCAGAATCCTGGTTCTTAGTGCGAGTTGCTACCTGGAAACATACCTGCATCCCGCCTCCTTCCTCCAGGCAGGACGGGCCAGGTGACAGGGATGCTCAACAAGATGTCAGACGACATCCTGGGTGGGACCTCAGTGGGGGCTCATGGACACGCAGGGAGAGCACTTCTTCCTCCCTCCCGCTGCCTGGAATACACACGGTGATGTGGCCCGGTCCAAGCCCTGGACTGCAAGGTGATGCCACAGGCCAGGGTGATGTCCCCTGCCACCCACAGGCCAGGGTGGCAGGGGACTGGCTGTTATTGTTCAGTCACTAAATTGTGTTCAACTCTGCAACCCCATGGGCTACAGCACGCCAGGCTTCCCTGTCCTTCACCATCTCCTGGAGTCTGCTCAAACTCATGTCCATTGCATCAGTGATGCCATCCAACCATCTCATTCTCTGTCGCACCCCCCCCCACCTTCTTCTTTTGCCCTCAATTTTCCCCTCAATCTTTTCCAATGAGTCAGCTCTTTGCATCAGGTGGACAAAGTATTAGAGCTTCAGCATCAGTCCTTCCAAAGAATATTCAGGGTTAATTTCCTTTACGATCAACTGGTTTCATCTCCTTGCTGTCCAAAGGACTCTCAAGAGTCTTCTCCAGCACCACAGTTTGAAAGCATCAATTCTTCAGTGCTCAGCCTTCTTTATGGTTCAACTCTCACATCCATATAAGAAAAACCACAGCTTTGACTATACAGACCTTTGTTGGGAGGGACTGGGAAACGGATCAAACCATGTTGCTGATACAGAAGCCCCGATGGCTGAACTCCAAACTCTGAATAACTCATAATTAGGAGGGAAATAAACTGTTGAAACCCACTCCTTTTCTATGCGGCCATTCTTAACCCTAAGTGATATACATGGAGTTTAAAGCAGGAGGTGGGAGTCTGATGGCCCTTGTAGTGGGAAAAGTAACGGCTGAGAGTGTTTGTAACAGGGTAAGTGTGAGGAAGCTTCCTTTGTAAGGTAGAGACAGACGGCATTTTCTCCACAAGTATATGAGCTGGCAAGACAGGGGACTTGAAAGCCGTACTAGTCTGGAGAAGCCCTGGGGGTGCAGGAAACCCATCAGAGATTCTCATGTCCCAGATAAACAAATAGGAACAGAAGAGGACTAGGGGGATGAGCGAGCTCAGATGGGACAGCAGAGGGGGACCCAGGGTGCAGGCAGGGCTGACCCTGGAGAGGATGGGCTTGTGGGCAGCATGTGGTGGAGGCTCCAGCCAAGAGCCAGGAAAGGGGACCCCAGAGCCTAGGGAGCCAGAGTGTAAGAAGGCCACACTTGACAGTGACGGGAACAGCTCTTGTGGTGGAGACAACAACTCTAGGTGAGACTCCAGCATCTGCAGTGAGCTGGAGACAGGTGGGAGCTGAGAGCTTCGTTCAGGGTACTCCATGGGCCCCTGACCCCTGGAAGGGTACCATGAGTGCAAGCAGACTCTCAACATGGAGGAGGCGCCTTCTCCAAGTTCACACATGATAAGACACTAAAATCAAGTCGCAGACCAGCGCTCTATACGCAATGCCCAGGTCTGTGCAGAGGGCTGGGTGTGACCGGTAGGCAGGCCTGAGTTGGGTACACAGACCAGAGACAGAGGCCCCTCTCTGAGAGTCCAGTTCCAGGTATAATGGAGCCCAGGGGGTGGCTCTGGGCATCTCACCCCCGTCCCTGCCTCAGAGTGAGGTTCAAGAGCAACAGAAGCGCCCAGGCTGTTTCTCCAGCTGGACCTGAGCTCCGACTCAGTCTGCTGCTTACTAACCCGTGACTGCGGCCCGTGACCTCACCCCTCCGAGGTCTCCTCCCTGGTAGAGCAGAAACGTTTACCCCCCAGAGCTGATAAAAGTAGGAAGCAGGAGACCATGGATGGAGGGTGGGCATCATGCCTGGCACACAGCAGGGGCTCAACAACTCTCACCTCCCCTTCCTTCTTCACGGCTGAGCTCACAGACAGTTACTGGCAAACCTTGGTTCTTTCCCCATGAACCAGTCCTGCCCCCAGTGCTCACTGGATGTGCCCTCAGAAGACAAAGGCCAACTCCTCTTCACCAGCCACTGAGGATTCTTACAGATTTAGTCCCATACACGTTTCTATGTGGAAACTCAGAAAATGACCCTTCCCTTCAAGATCTTATTAACTAGTTAGGGAGATGAGAGTAGACAGAAGATACCAAATCAGATTCGCAGTGTCTGATGAAACAGGCTATATGGCACCAACTCTAAGGATTTACTTCTTAAGGGAAGGAGACCGAGGAGAAGAACTAGGATTCAACTGCAGAGCAGGAGGGGGAAGGATTCCAGGGAAGACAGAGCAGAAGCCACAGGACAGGGGCAGAAGGTGGATAAAAACCACCCTGGGAAGGTGTGCCTAAAAGCAAAGGGGAGCTCTGGGGAGGGTGGGGAAGCAAAACCAGACTCAAAAAGAAGCACGGATCTAATCCCAGTGCATCAAATGCATTAAAAAAAGAAATAAAAGAAACAAAAAGACCCAAGTCCAAGTGCAGTGGGGGCCCTGGGATGAATAGGGAGGCATGTCTTGGGGGGCACCTGTGTGCTTGAGAAGGCAACCTGTGTGTGAGGGATCCCCCGGGTGGGGAGGGGCGAGAGGAACCCAGGCATGTCCTCAGGTGTGATACTCATTGTCAAGGCAACTGACTTCTCACCCATCCCCAGGTAAGGACCCCCCCACCCCGCTGCAGTGCCTGATCAGGAATGTGACCCCTCTTCATACGTGGCTTAAACAAAAGGGGCTCTTTCTTCTTAGATGCCGGCCAGGTTGTAGAAAGGGATGTCAGGTGCCTCTCGGAGGTGATCCAGAGCTGACCAAGAGGGTAGCTTGTGTTTGGGATAAGGAAAAAAAAACAATGACGGGGGAAGCCCTGGGGGTGTGTGGTGGTCTAGTGCCAGGGGAGGGTCCATTCTCACTCTGCAGAGGTCATCCAGGCTGACTCACCACATTCCTGGGGCCCGTCCAGGTGCATTCCACTGCCGTCTGATTGATGGCCTTGGCTTTGAGGCTCGGGGCGGGTGGGCGGACACCTCTGGTTGTGACACGCTTGAATGCCAGAGGACTGTCCCCCAGGTCGGTCTTGGCCCAAGCAGAAATCTCGTAGGGCGTCTGAGCTGTCAGGTTGCCAACTGGGGAAACAGGGACAAAGGTTGGAGCAGTGGTCTTTATACGCACACTTTATCTTTTTCTTTTGCACATGTCTTTATATGTATACCTTATTTTTTTACATTTTTTTTTTCCTTTTTATCTTTTGACTATGCCATGTGGCATGTAGGATCTTAGCTCCTCAACCAGGGATCAAACTCTCATCCCCTGTGTTAGCAGCATGGAATCTTAACCCCTGGACCACCAGGGAAGTCCACCTATTTTTTTCAATGTAACCTCTCCATTTAAGTGAGTCCCTCATGTTGTAGGATGTTTATTATTTTACGAATTCACTTGGCATGATTTATTAATGAAAACTGCAAATAACACAGTGCATGGGCATGGAAAAAATTCCTTTAAAGCTGACCATCTGTGGATGGTCAATCCTTGGGGAGAGCCATTTGGCCTTGTGAGGGTCTTGAAATCCTTCATAACCTTCAATCCAGGTACAAGAGAGGGATCCAAAAATCTGTGCAACCAGGATGTCCGTCACTGTATTTGTTTCAGCAGAAAAAAGTATAACCATCTGATCACCCAACAACAAGGCAGCAGTTAAATAAGGTGCATCCATGCACTTCAAGCACACTCCATGAACTGTCACAGCCACTAGAAGTTGTTTCCAAGAATACATACTGCAACTAGAAAATTCTGTGATTTAGGTTCAGTAAAAAAGACAGGAGATAAAAGTATATACAGTACATATAAAGAAGTCAATGAGGAGGAAAAGTACCAAGTTAGGGGATACTCCAAATTATTAATAAAAGTGCTTTCCCTAGGAAGTGAAATTATAGGAATTAAAAACTTTTATTATACGTTTTTTTGTTTTCTAAATTTTCTGTAATAAAGATGTGCCTCTTTCTAAGTAGGGAAAATGTCATCAGAAACTCAAAGGGCAGTGAGCCTTAAGAAGAATATGTTTAATGGGAATTAGACATTGTAAATGTAACATTGTAAATCATTGTTATCATTGTAAATCAACTATATTTCAATAGAAATAAATATCAAGCAGAAAAAAAAGAAGGATATGCTAAGAGGACAGCCTTTGGAATCAAGAGGACTTGGGTTCAAGGCCTGACTCTACGCTTCATGGTTGCAGAAGCCAAGAATGAAGAACTCCAACTCTCCAAGCCCAGATCCTTGTTGGTAAGATATAGAACAGCAACACTTATGGTGGCTGGCTGTTGCAGGGAATAAAAAAGAAAATGCTCGTCAACAAGTGCTTTGCATGATCCCTGGCGTGAAAAAGGGCCTTTGTGGGTCTCAGGCAATGGCTGGTAGGACTTTTGTCCCTGACTCTGCCAGTTTCTCTTGGTGTGATGTAGGGGCAACGAGATCGCAGCCTTCAGAATTAAGAGATGTGGCTTCCAATCCCGGCACTACTGCCTTCTGAGGGAACCACTCGATCCCTGAACCTTATGTTCTGATCCATAAAATGAGGCTATACCGCAGCATCATTTTTGAGGTGTTAGGTATCCAGTGGTCATGTACAGATGTGAGAGTTGGACTGTGAAGAAAGCTGAGCGCCGAAGAATTGATGCTTTTCGACTGTGGTAACTGAGGTAACTAACCCCGAGAATTCTTTGGGGAGGGAAAAACATCATCTGTAAGGGGTTAATCTGACTTCTTTCCAGCGTTTCATCCTTTTTAAGCCTCCAACTTCCCTGAAGAGCCATGAGATTAGAAGGGAGATTTGGGGAACCACCCAGTGGATTCCTCACCTGGGCTCAGGTGGTGAGGAGGTGAGGCTCACTGACAGGACCCTCCATGGACAACACGGGCCCACTCAGGACAGCGGCAGAGGAGACCCCTCAGCCTTTCTCAGCCCCCCACACAGGCTCCACTGCCAGGAAAGTCTCAGTCTAGCCTTCCTCCTTCCTGCTTACACACCGACCAGCTCCGGGACGCTACCTTTCTGTGACAAGACGGTCCCTCGGAAGTTCAGCGTTCTCTTCTCCTGTCTGTGGGTGTCAAATGACCAGAAGAGGTTCACCACATAGCCATTCACCTGCCAAGAATCAAGAGCCATGTTACACGAGCAATGCACACGCAGACCTCACCAGACATGAAAGGCAGAACTTTCCTGCTGCTCCTGGGTATCTCCCTTCTTAGAAAGAATGGGGCGGCCCTTTGGATACTTACATCAGTTCCATTTGTGCTAACATGAACACTCATACTCCTCCCTACTTCTAAAAATGAATGTGAAACAACTTATAAAATAAAATATAGATTCTATTGTGTGTTAACATACATATATGGAATCTAGAAAAATGTTACTAAGGAACCTATTTGCAGGATGGGAACAGAGATGTAGACATAGAGAATGAACTTGTGGCAGAAGGAGAGGATGGGACAAACATATACATACTGCTGCTAAGTCATTTCAGTCGTGTCTGACTCTGTGCAACCCCATAGACGGCAGCCCAAAAGGCTCCCCCGTCCCTGGGATTCCCCAGGCAAGAACACTGGAGTGGGTTGCCATTTCCTTCTCCAACGCGTGAAAGTGAAGTCGCTCAGTCGTGTCTGACTTGTAGCGACCCCATGGACCAGAGCCTACCAGGCTCCTCCATCCATGGGATTTTCCAGGCAAGAGTACCGGAGTGGGGTGCCATTGCCTTCTGCGATATACACACTACCATGTGTAAAACAGAGAGCCAGTGGGAAGTTGCTATATAGCACAGGGAGATTAGCTCGGTGCTTTGTGATGACCTAGAGCGGGGGAATGGAAGGAGGGAGGCTCAAGAGAAAGAGGATATATGTACACATATAACTGATTCATGTTAGTGTACAGCAGAAACTAACACAATTATACTCCAATTTAAAAGTAGTTTTAAATAGATTCAATGAAACAAAAAAAATTAATGCAAAATAAAAGGACAAGAACCAACTAAAAAGGAAGAAAGAAGAAAAACTGTTAGTAATTAGATTACAGTAATTAGGCATCCATCTTAGCTCAGATGGGCATCCCTGGTGGCTGAGCAGTAAAGAATCCACCTGCCATGCAGGACCTGCAGGAGACCCGGGTTTGATCCCTGGGTCAGGAAGATCTCCTAGAGAAAGGCATAGCCACCCACCCCAGTATTCTTGCCAGGAGAATCCCATAGACAGAAGAGCCTGGCAGGCTATAGTCCACAAGATCGAAAAGAGTCAGACACGACTGAAGCAACTTAGCACACACACACAGATGTTTAGCTCAGGCAGTGCTTGCAGTCAAGGCCAAGAGGTCACAACAGAGGTGGCTTGATCAGATCTCATGGGCTTCCCCAGGCAAGAACACTGAAGTGGGCTGCCATTCCCTTCTCCAGGGATCTTCCCGACCCTGAATCAAATCCAGGTCTCCCGAATTGTGGGTAGGTTCTTTACCATCTGAGCCACCAGGGAAGCCCCCACTGTCTAACAGGAGCAAATATATCCATGAGTCAGGAAAGACTATCTCCTCTAAGTCCCGAGCTCACAGAAGGATTTTATCTAAAGGGCTTTAAAAATATTAGACAATGACCAAATTAAAATGTGTTCAAAACCAAAGACTAGAGAGACAAGGTCTACGCAAGGCCATTTCCAGCATCAGCGGTCCCTGAGGCCAAGGGCGTTGAGACCACACTGCAGCTCAGTCAATGGCACAAGGACTCTGCATGCCTTTGGTCCCACCACAACTTCACAGACTGGGACGGATGTGAGGGAAAAGAGACAGGGAAAAACACCATGGAAGGTGAATGGCAACTTGAGAGACCAGGGGACACAGATAACTGCGGGGAAGGTGGCCACGCTGATGGACCAAGCAGAGGGGATGAAGGTGCTGGAAGGGGAAGGACACTGGGTGCACCATAGGTGGATATGTGTCCAAGGCATCTGACTCTCCCCTAAGACTCTCCTCCACTGAGGGAACCTCTGCATTAGCGCAGCACCAGGAAATCCAATAAAGCTGAAAATTACAGGGCAAACATCTTCTGTTAACACCAACTCTTTATTTGCACTGTAGCTGTGAACCATTTAATTATATGGTTAAAAAAAAAAAGGCAGCAGGCTGAGGCAGAATAATTACATGGAAAGACTTCAGTTGTTCTTCGTGGGGGAAGAAGCCAACCTAGGTGTGGTATTTTAGCTTCACTGGAACAAGTCATTCTTTTCTCTTAATCTCCCTGTCCTCTGCTCTATCGGTTCCCACGCAAAGGAAAGCCCCACCCGACTGCTGGTTTGAAATGTCCACGTTACCTTGATGTCCGTGTCCATGGAGAGGGTAAAGCTTAGGAAATTTTCACCGTAGCTGTCAATGCGGATGTCTGGTGGTGGGATCACTGAGAACAAAAAAGGGATTCAAAGAGAGAAACCATGTGATGAAAAGTGAAGAAGGCAGGACTTCACAGTTTTCAACTCAAGGGACAAAGCGATCTTTCAGTTGGGAAAGAAAAGGCATTGCTTTGGCAGTTCTGACTCTTCTATCGCTTTTACCACTGTTGTCCTGAGGCTGGGGCTGGGTCCACAGTTGCCTGGTGAACACAGAACTATCTCGGCTGGGTCAGCTATCCTGGCAATTAGGTCGAGCAGAAAAGTTCCATTATGTAAATGCCCCAAGTCAGCCCAGCTTCAGCCTGGTTCTGAAAAGTCTGGGGGTCACACTGGGAACCATCTTTACTGGCACCAATGAAGTCCCAGTGGCCTCAGGTCCTTCTTTGAAGGTTGACAGCATGCTAAATCTTAAGTCCTAACTTGTAGATGTATGTGGGATGAAATGGAAAGAATCTGGGCCCTGGAATTCAAATTCCTGTTGAGACACTTAGCAACCGTGTGCCCTGGGGCGAGTTACCTGTCCTTGCTAAACCTAGAGATACCATCTGTACTTCACAGAGATGGCAAAATTCACTAAAATAATACCTGTCTTGATACTCAAAGTTCCCGTTCTCTCTTTCCGATAAAGTCCCACCCAAGACAAATTAAAGACCTGATGAGATACTGGCACCCTCATAAAGACCAGAGCTTGGGACTTCCCTAGTGGTCCAGTGGTTAAGAATCTGCCTTGCAATGCAGAGGATGCAGGTTCAATCCTGGTCAGGGAACTAAGACCCCACATGCCATGGAGCATCTAAGCCCACGCACTACAACTAGAGAATCTGTGTACCCCAACAGAACATCCTGTATGCCACAATGAAGACTCCATGCTGCCTAATTAATTAATTCATTAAAAAAAAAAAGACCAGAGCTCAGCCTGGGAGCTGAAGGGGCAAAGAGAGGACAGCAGAGAGAAAAAGATTCCTCTTGGTTCAAGTGAATAGTAGCACGCTGGTCATTTTGAACGTCTACCCACCAGAAACCCAACAGTGTGCTGCAGGTGTAACCTAAGAGGGCTTGATGGGGTCAGCATCATCAGAATGTAATATTCAAATGGATTAGATTCTCAGCACATATGCCTTTTATATCAGCAAGGCAAGAAAGACCCAAAGGAGTAGCTAAGAATTGGTGGCAAAGAGATGGTTCAAACATTAAGGAGTCTCTCTAGATGTTCAATAAAAGTGGGCTTGAGGAAAACACAGCATGCAGAAGAAGAAAGGGTATTAGGAGTTGCAGGCAGCCAGCTCAGAGCAAAATAGTTCAGGTGCTGCTATAAACCTGACCTGGGCTATAATCACAGTGGCGGGAGTTACAGCACAATCCTCTCCAAGTCCCAGTTTCCTCAGCTACCAAGTGAGTGTAAGAATACTTACAGGGTTGATAAGGATTAAGAGAGATACATTCCTATAAAAACAACCTGCAAGGTGCTTGCTGCAGTGCTCAAAATATGGTGGCTGTTGTTATCATTAACCCACTGTGTCCACTAATCACAGTGGTGATTCGGGGGTGATGCTCCTGCTGTTTCAAACCCCATCTTCTTACATTACTAGGACCCAAGGCCACAGACAGATCATAACACATGTTTTTTGACTCTGCACACAGTTGCCTTCTAACCAATACACGTATGAATTGAGGTTCAGCCTAAAAATCATTGTTGTTGCTATTTATTCGCTAAGTCATGTCTGACTCTTCGCGACTCCATGGACTTGTAGCCCACCAGGCTCCTCTATCCATGGGATTTCCCTGGCAAAAATACTGGATTGGATTGCTATTTCCTTCTCCAGGGGATCTTCCCGACCCAGGGATTGAACCCAGGTCTCCTGAAAGAAGCAACCCCCAACCACTGAGATTTTCAAATTCAGGTGTGAACTGTGACGAGGAATTCAAGATGCTACCTGTTTTTCTGATGACTTTTCAATGTCCCTCCTTTTCAGTAGATATGGTCAGTATGTTCTGACTGATTGTAGAGGAAAATAATACCACAATCAAAACTCCAGGGGAGGAGCTTCTTTGGCGACTCAGTGGTAAACAATCCACCTGCCAGTGCAGGAGAACAGATGTTCGATCCCTGGTCCAGGAAGATCCCACATACTGCAGAACAACTAAGCCACAGCTATTGAGCCTGTGCTCGATAGCCCACGAGCTGCAACAACTGAAGCCCATATACCCTAGAGCCCATTCTCTGCAATGAGACGCTACCACATGAGAAGCCCAAGCACAGCACCATAGAGTAATCTTTGCTTGCTGCAACCAGAGAAAAACCCTTGCAAACAACAAAGACTCAGCACAGCCAAAAATAACTAAACAAACAAAGAAACAAAAAACCCCACAACTCTAAGGAGAACAATTCCAATATGTACAATCTCCCTGCTCCACGGACTGGCTGGCTTCACAAAGTTCAACTTGGCCCCTGCCCTGACCTCAACCACCCACCCCATCTTTTTAAAGGCAACCAGACAGTGACTCTCCAAGACCCAGAGCCTATTTCTCACAGGCTCAGGTTAAAGCAAAATCCTCTGATCACGTTCCTGGTGGCATTTCCAGCTTTCGTACCCGCCCGCCAATCCAGAAATGAAAGTGCCCAGGCTAAGATCAGGAAGATGACTGGTGCGTCTCCTATAGAGCGCCAGAGCCTTCTGCTCACTTGCTTCAGTTCCCCCACTCATCCGTGATTTCATCGGCTCCTACTCCACTCTGAGGATGGGGTGGCAGCACGTGTGAGGCACACGTGCCAAGTAAGGAGCCCCGCCCAGGAGGCAGACCCTGCAGTGGTTCTGGAGTCAGCAGATCAGGTTCCAACCCCAGCTCTATGTGCAAATGACACAACCTTTCCAGTCCCTTATCTTCCTTATAGCTGTTCCTTGGGCTCAACAAGATAAGCTGGTATAAGCAGAGCAGCTGGCATGACAGGCTTCCAGGTCCAGGACTTTGATCAGCTCCAGCGACAGAAAGATAGAAACTGCCACCTACGTGTTGTTGGTGGCTGCCCCAGGGTAGTGATGAGTGTAGGCGTGGCACTCTCTTATAACACCCCACAGACGAAACGGACAAGACCATCTTTATCTTGGCTGAGAAAGGAGAACACCTTATGTCATGGATAGTCCATCTGAGAAGCAGAGCCGGGCATGACGGCCTTCAGAAATCCACCTGTATGCTTTTGTTACAACAGATGCCCAGTTCTATATAGAAGGAGGAATGATCGATGGTCGCCCCAAAAAGACTTCATGTCTAAAGCACAACAGAGACACCCAGAGAAGTTCACTTGTTGTGGGGAGGGAGGTTGTGTGAACTATTCTGATCTGTGCATCTTCATTTGCCAGTCATACAGAGCTTTTTCTAAGGGCTTCTGTCTTCTCTAAAGCTGCAAATGCTGGAATCATTTACCTTGTCCTTTTATGGTGGTAATGGATTTAGAATCGCTCCAATTTCCTATTCCACGACTGGTCACCGCAGCCACCTTTCAAATCAGAGTGTGAATTAGTATGAAATAAAGGCAACATGCCACACAGCGAGAATCCCAAGTAGGTAAAAGGGGTGAGGCTTTGGCAATATGGGTGGAAGAAATACACACAGAGGGATGCAAGATAGTCTGAGGTGCCTGCAAGGGAAAGAAGACAGGGAAAGAGAGCACAGGAGGGAACCAGGGGAAAGGGAATTGTGACAACGCCGAAATTATGAAATTTCTGTTGACTGATAGGTGTCAAAGTTTTTCTAAAGGGCAGAGGTGTGAGAGGGAGTGCGTGCATGTGTATGTCCATATATGTGCATAATCATACACAGGTATGAGACTCAGTGTCAGGGAGCTTGCGAATGCACTCAATGGTCTCAAAACATGTTTTGCACAAACTCTCTTTTCTACTGAAGATGTTGACAATCTATTTCATAAGAACTCCAGAAGATCGTTTCATAAATGCCACTTATCACAGCTCTGTCTGTCCCTGCAGCTAAAGACAAGCAGAAAAGAGATGGGTGCAAAAGAAATTGAAACTGGAATGCTAGCAGAATATCTGGGTTAACAGCAGGGAGAGCTGCATTAATAATCAATTCTCAGTTATGTGAGTGAAGGCTGATTTTGAGTTCTCTATGGGGCCTTGGCTTGAGAGACTAAAAGAAAACATGAGCTCCCAGAGAAAGGGGCTGGGTATCGAGCAGACCACTAGTCAGCACCTGGTAAAAGAAGGCTCAGAGTTCTCATGGAGTGCAACTATCTCCCCATGTTCCCAGGCCACCCAGCCAGATGGCTGAAACGTGTGCGAACACTCACTCTGACCGTGTACTGAGTGTTGACCAGCAGGCTCCTTATTTCTGTAAAGTTGCTAAGAGCTCTCTGGGAGGCCCACATCTTGGAACCACTCCTGCTGTATTCTACCTAAAGAGAGAGAAAAATAAAAATAAAAATACTAATCCATGAACAGGTACCAAAGGTCTGGGCATCATAACACCTTACAAAAAGGCAGGAGGAGAGAGGGGAAGGTGGGATGCAAAGTGTCCCAGATGGATGATTATTTATAAGGCAGTACCAAACCAAGTCCTCATCACACAGAACACGATTCTGCTCCAGGAGACCTGGTCATCTCCCACGCTCACCCACACACACTGCCCGCACCTGGGAGGAACTTACAATGTACTCCCGAATGAGGCCATGGGTGTGGACGGGAGGGGCCCAGTGGCCCATGATCACGCCTTCTACTTCCCTGTGGAGTGACAGCTGGAGGTTCTGGGGAGCGTCTGGCACTGGAAAAGAAGCCACGGGGTTAAAATCCATCTGCATCCTTGTCAACTGGAGGAACTTCTCTGAGCTTAAAACACACACAAGAAAGAATCTGGGGCCAGCAGGGAACCTGTGCACCACAAAGGGCTGTGAGCTTGGTCTTCCCGCTGATGGAACATCTTTCCTCCCTGCTGTCCACCTGTCAGACCAACCATGGCTCAGAGAGTCTGACACAGGCTGGGGGCTCCTAAGGGCTGCAGGACGGAATCACCTGAGTAGGTTAAGTCAGCACTGGCCCTGGGCTTCCAGGCTGAGATTTTGATTGTCACAGGCAGCTGCCCTGAACTCTCATATTTACATATATGTGCATGGGTGCTAAGTCGCTTTAGTCGTGTCTGACTCTTTGTGGCCCTATGGACTGTAGCTGCTGTCCATGGGATTCTCCATGCAAGAGTACTGGAATGGGTTGCCATGTCCTCCTCCAGGGGATCTTTCCGACCCAGGGACCAAAGCCGTATCTCTTATGTCTCCTGTATTGGCAGGAGGGTTCTTTACCACTAGCACCACCTGGGAAGTTCATTTATATATGTGTGTGTATACACACACACACACACACTCACAGATGCATATATATACATATACATTTATATGTATATACACATACATACGCGTGTATGTTTTAGATTCTTTTCCTCTATAGATTATTACAATAGACTAAGTATAATTCCCTGTACTATGCAGTAGGTCCTTGTTGTTTGTCTGTTTTGTATACAGTAGTGTCTGTCTGTTAATCCCAACCTCCTAGTTGACTGTTCTTTGTTCATAAGTTGATAAGTCATGAGTCAATAAGTCAGGTCAGACTCTTTGTAGCCCCATGGACTGCAGCACGCCAGACTTCCCTGTCCTTCACTATCTCCTAGAGTTTCTTTAAACCCTTAATTTATGCCTCCCCTCAATCCTCCTTAGGTAACCACAAGTTTGCTTTCTATGTTTGTGTGTCTATTTCTGTTTTATAAATAAGTTCGTTTGTACCACTTTTCTCGATTCCACATATAAGCGTTATCATGTGGTATTTGTCTTCCTCTGTCTGGCGGCCTTCATGTAGTAAGTACGTCCTCACTTTCTGGCAAGACCATCTTCTAGATCTCCTTCCCCAGGCCTGGACTTCTTCAAGGAGCCCTGCATCCTTTCACTGAAGAGCGGTGTGAGAAACCTTGATCCGAGTGGCAGGTGAGCTCAACGCTATCAAAGTTTTTCTGGGCCTTCCCAGTTGAGGAAACAAGGAAATGCATGCGGTATACTAACCTGTGCAGATACACACACCTATAAAGACTTTATGTGTAACCACATGCATGCACATTGAGATAAACATGCGTTCACATTAACATCTCCAAATGTAAACACGGTTCTGATGGCAGCTGAGAATGAAAAGTTCACGAAACCTGGGGAGCAGGGGTCACAGGAACAAGCGCAGTCATCCAATGTCAACTACTGTGAAGGAGGGAGGAAGTAAGGAACTCTCTATGACCCTCGAGCTTTGGTAAATTTTTTTATAGTATGCCCAAAATACTTCTGACACGCTTCATATGTTAATGATGCCGATCTCCTAAGCACTAAATACTGGGAAATACCTAGAGACGGAAGGCAGAGACAGAAATTAGATAAGAAATGCAAAAGAGGGCAGGGATGGGGAGATCAAATTGTGGGGAGAGAAAAACATTATGCATGGTGATCGGTTTGTAATTACACAAATACTGAATCACTATGTCGTACATTTGGAACTAACACAGTGTTGTGAGTCAACTATACTTCAATTTAAAAAAAAATTGTGTTAAGATGTCAAAAACAAATGTATGGTTACGAAAGGGGAAAGGGGTCAAGGGAAATGAGGGTTTGGGGATTAACAGATATACACTGCTCTACATAAAGTGGCTTCCCAAGTGGTCCTAGTCGTAAAGGACCCGGCTGCCAATGCAGGAGACATAAGAGACATGGGTTCAACCCCTCGATTGGGAAGATTCCCCTGGAGAAGGAAATGGCAACCCACTCCAGTATTCTTGCCTGGGAAATCACATGGACAGAGAAGCCTGGCAGGCTACAGTCCATAGGGTCACAAAGAGTTGGGCATAGTTGAAGCAATAAACAAGGACCTACTGTATATCACTGGGAACTATATTCAATATCTTATAATAACCTATAATAGAAAAGAATCTGAAAAAGAAGGGATATATAACTGAATCACTCTGCTGTATACCTACCTAAAACACTATTTATCAACTATACTTCAAAAACCAGAATTGTGTTTTTTAAAAAAATTACGTGATATAACAAGGAGAGTGACTCAGACAGGTCTATAAACTTAGGCACATAGACAGCACATGTAGTGATGCTGCCCTGTTCCTGAGCATCCTGGGAAACTCTGAAAATGCACAGAAGGGCTTGTCCCTGTGGCACTCACATCCTTCGGGAGTCCTCAGGGTCACGAAGTCGTTGGTACTGTGCACCTTGCTCAGACACTGGACCTGGACTTTGACCTGATATGTGGTGTCTGGCTTCAGGACTTTCAATACTGTGCTCGTTTTATTGCTATGGGTCTCCAGAGTATTCCATATGCTCTCTCCAACCACCCTGGCCAAGAGAAGAAACAGAGCATCGCATCAAAGCAACATGGGGTGGCCAAGATGTCTGAACCCATCAACAGAGTTGCTCAGTACACACACAAGAGTTTATGGAATACCCGCTGGCAATAAAAACATCATTTTCTTCTCCCGTGGCAAAGAAGGGACCCACCTGTAGTAGACGTTATACACACAAGAAGCAGAGGGCATCTTCTTGGGCCGTATCCATGTCAAAGTTACATCCCCAGAGAAGTCCGCTGTCCATTGAAGATTCTGTATTTTGTATACATTTAATTCCTCTAGAGAAAGAAAAGGGGGGGGAAAGCAAATGATATCTTAAAAATCCTTGCATTTCAAAGGACCTAGGAGGTTCCTTGGTTTCAGGCAGAACTACTGGGATCTGCATGGTCTGGCCACCATCATTTTAAAACACCCCAGAAAAAAAAAAAAAAGAGTTGAAACCTTCCTATCCACCCTTCCCCAGGGTCTCCTAAGATTCCAGTTGTGATATTTCTCCTTGCATTTCACCTCCTTGTCTGCACTGAAACAAGCCTGATTCTCAACAGAAACCACCACAAATCCAAGGACACGGTCATGGCAGGATCTGTGACTGCTTGAGACTGAGATGCTTGTGTGCCGCAGGACCCATATGCTGATGCCTCAACCCCGATGTGATCGTGCTAGGAGGCGGGGCCTCGGGAGGTGACTATATCCTAAGGACGTAGCCCTCGTGAATGAGGCTAGTGTTTTCATAAAAGAGACCCCAGAGCACTTCCTTCCACCAGGGGACAACACGGAGAACACGGCTGTCTGTGGACCCACAGGTGGGCCCTCACCAGACACTGAATCTGCTGGGCTTCAGTCTCAGCTTCCCAGCCTCCAGAACTGTGAGAGAGAAGTTTCTGTTGCTTTCATGCCACCCGGTCAGTGGTATTCTGTGATAACAGCCCCCAAAAGTTTGCTAAATGCATTTCCAGACAGAAGGATGGAATTCACCCCACCGCAAAGCCTGAGGCACTGCAGGAGCAGCAATGCCTCAACATGAAGTGGTGATGGGTTAGTCGCTCACTGGTGTCTGACTCTTCGAGACCCTGTGGACTATAGCCCGCCAGGCTCCTCTGTCTGTGGAATTCTCTAGGAAAGAATACTGGAGTGGGTTGCCGTACCCTGCTCCAGGGAATCTTCCCAACCCAGGGATCGAACCTGGGTCTCCTGAATTGCAGAGGCAGATTCTTTACTGTCTAAAGCTACCAGAGCAGCCCATCAACACAAGGACTAAAGCAAAAAACAAAATGAAAATCCCAGTCTCGACCAGCGTCTCCCTGAGAGGGGCGAGGTGAGCTGGAGGCCGTATCAGAGGTGGGACAGGCCTCCTCTGGAGCTCCAACAGTGAGCGAGAATCTTGGTGTTTTCAGACTGAGGCAAAGTGCGAAGAGGTTCTGGCCTGGGGCCCGCCCAGCGGGGTGCAGGCCAAGCCCGGGGTCCCGGGGGGCCACACTCACCACTGCAGGCACGTTCGTCGCTCTCGTCCGAGCAGTCCAGGAAGCCATCGCAGCGCTCGGAGAGCATGATGCAGGCCTCACCGTCCTGGCATTGGAACTCTAGGGCCGTGCAGGTCAGGGTGCTGTGCGTGGCTGCAACAAGTGAGGGGCCACCGTCACCAAAGGGTTCCCAGGTTCTGGGAAAGGGAACTCGTCAACTAGCGCTCCCGCCCCATGCAAACATGCACACGATGTTCCATCCAACGACTCTATCCACACGAAAAGGAAGACAAACAGACCCCTAAACCAGGGTGGTGATCCAACACCAGAGAATCTACTAACAACGGGTCTTTACAGTCTTCTGGGGAACTTGTGAAGCACAGAGGTTTGCTCCAGACCTACTGAGGCAGAAACACAGCACAAGCTCCACAGTGATCCCTCAGAACGGGCCAGCCCTGAGGACTTCTGTTCCTGAACAAGACAATCTGTTTTCTGGCTGAGGCACTGCACCCACTTCTGAAAACCACGCGTCAAGATGTAGGTAGAGAAACCAGGACGGTCAAGAGGAATAGGCGGAGGGTGCTGGGAGCTTTTCCTAGGGATGGAATGACACAGCGTTTGGAAGTGGGGGGGTGGAGGCTGAATAGCAGTTATAAATAAATAAATAAAGTGGGTTTCCCTATACGAAGAAGGAGCCTTCTGTGATGTGTCTGGGATGGAGGTACAGAATTCAGTTTTTCAAAAAAATTCCCTAACACAGTAATTCTCAATGGGAGAAAGAAAATATCAAACCACTTGTGAGGCTTTAAACAAATTGTAACTGCCTTTCCCATCTCCTGGAGAATCACTGGATTGTATGGTTCCATTAGGTTTGTGCTTTTTTTTTTTTCCCTTTGCTAAACTAAAATTGGTTTGCCAGGGGTAGCTTGATGGAGGGTTCGGTTACATGAAAATCTGCATTAGAATATTTAGAAAATAACTTTTTTTTTTTTTTTTTTTTTTACTTTGGAGTGTGCTGGGTCTGCGTTGCTGCGTGGGTTTTTTTCTAGCTGCTGTGAGCAGGGGCTACCCTCTTAATTGTGTGCTCAGAATTCTTATTGCAGCGGCTTCTCATGCTGTGGAGCACGGGCTCTAGGGCTCTCGGGCTTCAGTAGCTGCGGCTCTTGGGCTCTAGAGTGCAGGCCCAGCAGTTGCGGTGCACGGGCTTAGTTGCTCCAAGGCACATGGGATCTTCCCAGATCAGGGATCAAATCCATGTCTCCTACACTGGCAGGCAGATTCTTGACCACTCAGCCACCAGGGAAGCTCTTACAAGAGGTTTTAGAACCACTAGCGAACAGCCTCAGAAGCCCAAGCTGGGATTCATCCACCCATTTATCTATCCATCCATCCATGGAACTTTTAGGGAGGTTCCATCATGAATCAGATACTGTTTAAGACGCTAAGGATACGGTGATATGTGAAACACAGGACCTACCCTCACAGAGCTTACTGAGAGAAACAGCAAACCAGTAAACAAACAAATACATTATTTTAGACAAGGATAGAATTACAAAGAAACATACTGAGAGTAACTGGAAGAGAGTGATGGGGATTTTATACAGGAGAGTCAGGCAAGGACTCTGCTCAGAGGGGATTGTTACGGAAAATACCAAGATCCCCATCACAGAATTACCAACCCCCACTCGGTTAAGAATGTGGTAAAATATAATGAAAAAACAGATGAACAGTAAAGCTGAAAGATGTCTGAGGTTTCTTTAGGAAACATCTCAATATTTTCAAAGGAAGAAAACAGTTTTTAGAAACTGGGAATAAGGTTGTCTGAAAATTCTTAAACTGGTTCTTAAACTGATGATTAATGGACACTTAAAACAGAATGTAGTGGCCTCCAGGGGCCAACTTCTCTAAGAAGAGGCATGTCATGCTAATCTCATTTCCTTTGTTGATGGGGTTATCCAATTAATGGATTGAGGAAAACTGTAGATAGAGCACATCTTGATTTGAAGCCGCTTAACCAAGTGACTTCCTTATGTACAAGGCAGATTTGAAACAGGCAAAAGATATTTATTTAAAGAACGCCCATTAATGAATTAATCTCACCAGGAGGAAGGTCCTATTTCATTTCCTCTTTGTTAATTATGGTTAATGTTCTTCGTACAGTACTTATCTGACTCAGATGTTGCTACCATGATTTTGGTGACTGTTGGATCAATCTGCCCTGTTATCTGAATGTCCCAAAGGTCCACTTTGTTCAGTCTTTTCATGTAAGTGCAGGATTTTACGCTAATCCCCATTTAATTTCTCTGTGTTATTTTGGAGTATTCCTCCCTACAAGAACTTTCCACATGGTATGATGAGATCACGGTTCTGTACACAGGTAAATACTAAGTAAATGCCCCGATGTGCTGCAGACGAGGTGACCCTCTTTGAAGCTTAACTTTCCAATCTCTAAACTGGAGGTGTAAGGCCAGAATTTATTAACACGAGACACAAAGCAGAAGCATGAGCTGTCCTGCTCTCCCAGAGCCTCCCCGGGGGCAGGCGGCCCTGCCAAGCACTCACGGCAGTTGGCCTCGTCCTGGCCATCCTGGCAATCCCGGTGGCCATCACAGCGCCTCCAGTTGGGGATACACTTCTTCGGCTGGCGGCACTCGAACTCAAACCGGTCGCACCGCCCGAGCTGGGTGGGAGTGGAGGCAGCAGTCACACTGGCTAGAAGACAAGGTTTTTAAATTCGCTTTTTTAGTGCCGAGGCCAGCAACAGTGACCTATTAGATGTGCTGGCGATGTCGGTGCTCTGGGAATTTTGACAGGAACCCAAACAGACATGTGAGCTCTGGTGAAGATGGCAGGTCGATAAGACACGAGCCTCTCATCCCGCTTCTCTCCCAGGAACCCCCTGATGGAGACAAAAGCAACACTTTGGAAGCTGGGAAGCCGACAGACAGGGCTGAGTGGCTAGAGACTTCAGGGTAGAGAGGAGACTATCCTAGGCTGTCACGGGAGAAAGCTAAGCTCCGTTAAGACCAACTTCACAGAAGCTGCAAACAAACTGGAAAATGGTATCCTTTGGCCAGGAGAAAAAAGGGGGAAAATTATACAAGGGAGCCACTGAAAGATGCTGAAGCAGCAGGGAGACTCCCCACTGCCCCGCCTCAGTATCCCCAAGACAACCAGTCAACCTGTCATTCACACGGGGAGCTCCCGGGCTCCAGGCAGAAATTCTGATTCTGCAGTTTTATAAATATAGAAAAATATATATAAATACATAAGATATTCTACAGTTTTTACAAACAACCCAAGTGATTCCACTACAGGTGCTGTTCACTGTACCACGAGAAAGACTGATGGCATATCAGCATCCCATGCTTCTGTCTGCCCTGGGGGGCAGGGGGCTTCACAGAGGGCAGGAAGGGGGACGACATCAAGGAGGACAGAGGGGTCCGATAAAGGCAAAAGTCCTGCTGGAGGAATCTAAGTGAAAAGAGGCAGGTCTGTCCACGGCGAGTGAGGAGCCCAGCGTACGAAGTGAGAAGTCATGGCAAGCACAAAGGGTCTAACAGGGCTCAAAGAGGGCCTTGAAAATAGGACTCAAGGGTTAGGGTCTATCTTCTGGACAAGAGGACAAGCAGAAACCAGTGATGAGTCTTTTAAAAAGTTACTTTTTTTTTTTTTTAGATTTTTTTATGTGGACCATTTTTAAAGTCTTTATGGAATTATTATAGTATTGCTTCTGTTTTTTACATTTTGGTTTGGTTTTTGGCCACAAAGCATGTAGGATCTTAGCTCCCTGACTAAGGGATTGAACTGGAGTCCCCTGCATTGGAAGGTGAAGTCTTGACCAGTGGACTGTCAGGGAAATCCCACCAGTCATGATTTTAAACAGAGAAGAGATGGGATGAAAACAGTCTTAAAGGAGGAAAACCAGATCTAGGAATTTGCTGAAAAGAATTACATAAATTGTGGCAAGTGATGATCTATTCTCTTATTATAACTGACTCTGAAATGGAAACCTGTTGAGAAAAAGACACAGTTCTGCCTGCGGTTGGGGGGGCGCCTTGACAAGGGTGTCACGGTTTATCCCAGCTTCCAGCAACAAGGTGAAAGCCCAGACCTCCAGGTGCCTCGCCAAGTTGAGCCACTAGATGGCACTGCTTACCCTTCTTTTAACAGGATGGCTGCCAACTAGCAAACCAGACTTAGAAGAGTTTAATACAGAGACCTTCCCTACGATCCCCATGGTAACCTCCTGTGAGAGGAAGCAACCTCGGTGGCAAGCCGGTCCCTGCAGAAAGACAGAGGGCAGTGAGGGAAGATGACTTCTGAGTGCCCAGGGATCTCCCTGTTCTGGAGGTGAGAAGGGGCCTGGCCACAGAGCAGAGTCCCCAAGGGCAGGGCACTGCCCTTGGCCAGCCAGGGTGCAGCCTCAAAAGGCAAGTGCTCAGGCGCTGGTGCACTGGGATGACCCAGAGGGATGGGATGGGGAGAGAGGTGGGAGGGGGGTTCAGGACGGGGAACACATGTAAATCCATGGCTGATTCATGTCAATGTATGGCAAAAACCACTACAATATTGTAAAGTAATTAGCCTCCAAATAGTAAAAAAAATTTTAAAAAAAGATACCCCAGTATAGGGATGGGAGAGTGGGAGGTACAAACTGCTGAAAGTAAGTTAGGCTCAAGGATGCAGAGTATAACACAGGGAATATCACCAATATGTAGTAAATGTAAATGGAAAGTAACCTTTAAAAATGGTATAAAAATAAAAAACAAAACAGAGAGAAAAAAAAAAGATCCTGTCCTTGAAGCAGGTGCCCCGGGTCAGGGCCAGGGCCACACTTACCAGGCGAGGGGCAGGCCTCCTCGTCCGAGCCGTCTACACAGTCTCGATATCCGTCGCACACCCAGCTGTCCATCACGCAGGCCCCACTGCTACAGCGATAGTAATTGGGCAGACACGTGGAGGGCCCGGGAGTCGGGGTGGGAAGAACATGTGAATCTGAGGAAAACACCAGGCAAGGAAACCCAAAATGTTACAGGAAGCTTGAGCTCAGACCCCGAGGTGTCCAGACCAGTATGATGTGCCAGGTTCAGCTGCACAGCTGGGGGATGCCGGCACTGTTCTGGGCAGTGGCTCATCTAAAAATCACGTATGGAGGGGTGTCAGGACACTGTTCCCTTCCCTTCTGTGGAGCGGATTCACCTCACCTATTACACTTGCCTTGGGCTAGTATTCAGATGCGCCTGCTTCTGCAGGGCCTTGTGCAGGCTGGTGGAAGGAAGGGGACTCGGAAGGCACAGGGCAGATGGGAGAATTAATTCCTATCCAGGTTAAACCTGTTGTGGTTCACTCAACCCCAACCACCTCAAGAGCAGCTGGGGGACAAGGACACCAAAAAGGAACGGGACGGTCCTGTGTGCACCCCGGTGGCCGCCCAGCGTGTACCACGCACACATGTATGCATCATGGCCCACATGTCACCCAGAGCGCCTGTTACAATGCAGGACACACTGCAGGAGGGAGGCCTTGGGAAGGGTCACAGGCTGCCATTCTAACAAGGAGCTGTGTGTCTGCAGCCCACACTTGTGAGGCCAGGCTCTCAAGTTCCCACTGTGCCCTGGAAAGAATAACCCTGACAACAGGAGAGGCCAACTGTGCCGATTTCATAATGGGAGGGGGAGAGAAAACAACTCAGTTACCCACCCGACCCACCCACCCAAAACCACTGCCTAAGCCAGACGCTAAAGAGACAGGTGAGTTCTATGCGGTCTGGGCGGCGGGGCCGTCCCCGACCCTCACCTCCGCAGTCCTTCTCATCAGACCAGTCCCCGCAGTCGTTCTCCCGGTCGCATTTCCACCTGTTGGGGATGCAGTGCCCATTCTCGCACTGGAACTGGAAGTAGCGGGAGCAGGCGGGGGCCTCGGTGGGGTTTTCTGGGGGATGAACCGCAGGGTCAGTTGTATGGCCTGCACGGCGTGAACACAGAGCTCCAAGGAACCACAGGTTCCTCACCCAAGCCCCAGGGCAGCCCGCGCGACCCTCCCAGAGAAGGACAAGGCCACTTCCCGGACCGGAGGGAGACCAAGACCATATCCACAAACTGGACAAAAGCTTGCCTCCCTGGACCCGAGGTCATATTCTCTGATCTGTGCTTCTACATCTTGCAAATGACACCCGAGTGGTTTTTTTTAATATTTATCCTTTTATTATTTTACTAATTTATGTGTCTGCACCAGGTCTTAGTTGCAGCACATGGGATCTTATAGTTCTAATCTTATGTAAACTCTTAGTTGAGGCATGTGGGACCTAGTTCCCTGCCCAGGGATGGAACCTGGGCCCCCTGCATTGGGAGCACAGAGTCTTAGCCACTGGACCACCAGGGAAGTCCTGATACCCAAGTTTGAATTTTGATAGTCCAGGAAAGGAATGACCTGTTGATGATAACCCAATGGTAACAATGATTCCATCATGCTGTGACATCTGAAACATTTAGGGGGCGGGGGAAATATACTCCAAAATATTTACCATAACTCCTGTACCATATTCCTTATACACAATGTCAACTTCCTAACTGGAGAAAGAAAACAGAATAAACATACCCTAACCTCTGCTGGTGGAGAAGGAAATGGCAACCCACTCCAGTATTCTTGCCCAGAATATTCCACGGACAGAGGAGGCTGGTGGGCTACGGCCCATGGGGTTGCTAAGAGTTGGGCATGACTTAGTGACTAAACCAACCAACCAACCTCTGCTATGCGGTAGGTTCTCACTTTAAGACTCAATTTGTTACATGCAGATCAAGACCTGGAAGGGACTACGGCTGAAGAGGGAGAAGGCAAAGCCAAGCACCGTGTGACCTGGAGCCTGGGATGCCTGGGGCAGAGCTGAGGTCTCCTTACCACAGTTGGCTTCGTCGGAGTCATCGCCACAGTCATCCATCCCATCACACTTCCAGATCAAACTGATGCATACTCCGTTCTGACACTGGAAGCTGAACTCGTCACACACCTTGTGGAACTCGGGGTCTCGGGCTAGGGAAGGAACCAACCCACATAAGTCCAGATTACTTCCACACTGGAGAGCTCAGCGCGGCACTGTCGTTTGGAAACAAGAGGTGAGAACAAAGGCCCTCCACCGACAGATGGCCCAGCTAGCTAATGTGAGGTCATTACATTAGGACGGAGCCCCAGTCTAACAGGACTGGTGTTCTCATAAGGAGAGTAAGTGAAGACACAGACAGAGGATGGCCGTCTACAAGCCAAGGAGAGGCGCCTCAGAGGAAACCAACCCTGCCGACAACTTAACCCCTGATCTGCAGCCCCCAGAACTGTGCGAGATTAAGCTCCCCCGCCCCTAGGCTGCGGTCCTCTGTTTGGGCAGCCCAAGCAGACTGATGCAAGTCCTTCTAGCATGCAGGCAGGGCAGTCTTGGGGACAGGGCTATAGCTGTGAATGAGACAAGGACCTGCTCTCAGGCCAGCTGGGGGAGGCAGCCCACTGAATAACTGCAGTGTGCGGAGTGGAGGTGAGTCGGGTACAGACACTGCAGCAAGGTAAGGCGGCCCCTCCGGGGGCACAAGAAAGGCTGCGGGAGGAGGCGACACGTGGGCCAAGACCACTGTCAACCTTGATCCCCACCTTGAGCTGTGCACCAACAACTAACAAGCAAGCTTCTGAAGCAACCAAGGTGAACCTTTCTTGGAAGAGGCAAGTCTGGACCCTCAGTGGAGACCTGAAAACTGGATAGAGGCACGTGCCCAGGGTGGCCCACCTCCCGAGTCTCTCCAGCGCCCCCGACTCACAGCATCCTGCGAACTCCGGGTCCTCGTCGGAGCCATCCCGGCACTGGATGATGCCGTCACACACCATGGACTGGAAGAGGCACTGCTGGCGGTTCTTACACACGAAGTCCATGAGGCGAGTACACAGGGGTTCTGAAAGGGACCAGCGAGGGGAAGGGGCCGTGAGCCCCTGGGGCTGGGGACCCCGTGGGCAGGACATGCTCTGACCGGACGCACGTTCAGGAGGCGGGGGTAACGGGCACCACCACCAAGCAGGAGCTCCGCGCGAACCCTGAGCTTCAGGACCTCGTTAAACTCCCAGCACAACGTGATGAGAGGGTTACTGTCCCGCTTCCCAAATGAAGCGCAGGGGATGGCAACGTTATGCATTTTGCCAAGAGCACATGGCTGATGAGGGTGGAGCCAAAACTGAAACCCAGAGCTGCCTGACATCACAGCCCACGATCTTAACCACTATCAACCTAACACTGACTCTCGAATATGGGGCCTGGTAAACTCCTTCTATGAAGGACCGATGTTACCCACTAAACTGTACCTGCCGCCAATTTATATGTTGAAACCCTAATCTCCAATGTGACTGGATTTGGAGAAAGGGTGATAATTTTTTTTTTTTTTGGCTGTGCCACATGTCATGTGGGATCTTAGTTCCCCGACCAGGGCCTGAACCTATGCCTCTTGCGTTGGCAGCACAGAGTCTTAACCACTGGACTTCCAAGGAAGTTCCCTGATAGAGTTTTAAAGAGGAAATCCAGGTTAAGGGAGATAAATAAAGTTAAAAGGATCTATAGGAGTAGTGTCCTTCTAAGAAGCACCAGAAATGCAGGCAAAGAGGCCACATGAGGACATGAGAAGAAGGTGGCCTTTACGCCTGAGCTGCCACACTAACTCGTCCTTGGATCTCCAGCCTGCTTTTCCCAAGGATGAGCACCACGAATCCCAGACTACCTTTCTGGGTCCAAAGAAAACACAGCACACAAAGGGTCAACCATGCCGAAAACTGTTAGCCCAGTGATAATCAGCAACTAGCAAAACCATTGAAGGAGGAGAAATAAGTGTCCAATTCCAGATCACTGGTCCATTCGCAGGATATACTGCAGCTGAACAGTGATGATCGTGGACCATGACCTAATTCTATGGTCACCCGCCACGGCCCCACATCCTCTCCTTCACCCAAACCACGCCTCTCTGCCTCCACCCCTCTCAGAGTTCTGGCCAAGCAGGACCTGATGCAGGCAGGTACCAGGGGAGGAGAGGATTTAGCCCAACGTGAGGACTCACCGCAGTGCTGTTCGTCCGAGCCGTCCGAGCAGTCGTGCAGACCGTCGCAGTGTTTGCTGGATGGGATGCAGGTGCCGTTCGGGCAGCGGAACCCATTGCATTTCTTCTCTGGAAAGTGGTTCAAGGAGCAGTAGGATGAGGAGACAGGCAGACATTCACATCACCGCGGTGCAGATATTTATACCTACATGTGTGTCTCCCTATGGAGGGCTATCACAATTACAGATATACACATACTGTGACCCAGAAATGTAACCTACCCACACGAGGGAAAAACAACAGAGGAACAAGCTTATGCACGCAGCACTGTTTGTAATAGATTGAAAACCACCTACGTATCCATCCGCAGGAGATTGTGAAATAAACTACTGTACACAGGAACACGAGACTGCTATAAAGAGGCTGAAGAAGCACTCGGTAAAAACATGTCCTAGATAGACATCATCTGAAAAACCAAGGTACCAAACAACGTGCGTGGCATACTACATGTGTAAAAACAGGACAAGTACCTGTTGTATATTTAAATCTGCATGTATGCACAGAAATATTCTGAAAGGATACACAGCAAAGCCGGGAAACTGGCAGATGGGAGAGAAACATTTACTGTTTAATCTCCTTATACTTTTTCCACTGTGATCCATGTGAACGTGTTATCTACTCAAAACATTTTTTTTTTTAATGAAAAGTAAAATAAAAGCACCAAGTGGGTGGGAAAAAGGAGGACACGAACCCTGATTTTATAGACCCTGGGTTTTTTTAAGCTCTCTTACATCACTCACCATTTTAATTCTTCAGGAATTCTAAACCAAAGCCCTTTTGAAGAAACTTTTACCCCATAAATGTTAAGAATCTTAGGTTTTGCACTTAGTGTAGAATTTTTAGTACTAGGTCATCCATTCTCCTGAACAGAGAGCAACTGCCAGACATTTGGCTTAAACATCACTTCTAGTAGGTCAGTTGCAAACCCAACTCTTGGCAGAATAGTTTCAGGAGGATCAGGGATAAGGCAAGAAAATGTGTTTTAATCCTGTAAAAAGTCATCATCCCCAGGACATTGTTCAAAGGACATCGAAACAGAAATAGTAATTGAGTACCACGAGATGGGGAAATCGATTTCAGCATAAGAAGGTTTTTCACAAGTATAAAATTTAAATTGTACAAGACAAGTTACCACTCACTCAAGTCAAAAGATAAATTCAAGGGAGGCTTGGGGAAACATCCAATATGTTACTAATGGAGATTCTTTTGGTATAATCACTTGGAAATAGAATCTGGAAACAACAAGAATTGTGGAAATGTATCAGAACCTGTAACCCAGCACTTCCATATGGAGAGATACACCCTGGGAAGTAGTCTCTCAAGGGAAAACTAAGCCTTCATTTCCAAGGACACAGACAGTCTTCAGGACACATAACAGTGCGAAACTGACATTACCCAACCAGGAGCGCCTAAGTGAACCATGTCACAGCAACAGTACAAAGAGGGTGGGCAGTGGCCACGAAAACGCTAACTGCAGAAAAACACAGGCATACGGAGACATCTTCAACACTGCACCAGGAACAGAGCAGAACAAACAACAGCATGCAGACGACGGCTGCGATCCCACGAAAATCAGGGGTGCGAGGTATGAAATAATGGAAACTACGGATTTTCTCTCTGCCCTTGGTTTCTGGCATAAGGCTCCTCATGAATGAACGTGCTCAGTCAGTCGTGTCCGACGCCCTGGACCCACTGATGCAGCCTGTCGGGCCCCTCTACCCATGGGATTTTCCAGGCCAAGAATACTGGTAAGGGTTGCCATTCTTCCTCCAGGGTTCTTTGTGACCCAGGGACCGAACCCACATCTCCTGGTTGGCAGGTGGGTTTTTACTGCCGAGCAACCAAGGAAGCCCAGGATTAACATGTACACACTACTGTATATAAAACAGGTAACTAACAAGGACCTACTGTATAGCACAGGAAATTAAACTCAAAATTCTGGAATAACCTATATGGAGAAAGAATCTGAAAAAGAATGCATGTATGTATATGTACAACTGAATCAAGCTCCCCTGGTGGCTCAGTGGTAAAGAATTCACCTTCCACGCAGGAGACAGGGGTTCGACCCCTGGGTTGGGAAGAACTCCTGGAGAATGGCAGCCCACTGCAGTGTTCTTGTCTGGAAAATCCCATGAACAGAGGAGCCTGATGGGCTACAGTCCATGGAGTTGAAAAGAGCTGGACATAACTTAGTGACTAAAGAACAAAACAGAACCACTTTGCTGTTCACCTAAAACTAACACAACACTGTAAACCAGCTCTACTCCAATATAAAATATATATTTAATTTGGTGTGAAAAAGCATCTTATATATTATGTTTGTGTGGCAGCTACTTTATGCTTAATTTCTATTAACTATCTCGGAATCCTTCTTTAAATCATCTACACTGAAGAAGTTCTAGCTTATGAGTGGTCCCCATTTTCCCAAGGGACCATCACAGAAACCCCTGAGCCATAAAGTATGCCATTTATACAGAAACTGTTGGCTAATTTCTGGCAGAACACTGGTAATGGGACCCTATTTAGTGTTCTGGGTAGGCGAGTGGGTTTCCCATTTCTTTTCTTGTTTTTATGGCAGCAACCTGCTTGCACAAGAAATTACAGGACTTGCTGGTGGCTCAGTGATAAAAAAAATCCATCTGCCAAAGCGGGGGAACACGGGTCCGATTCCTGGTCTGGAAAGATTCCATATGCCTCAGAGCAACTAAGCCTGTGTGCGCCACAACTACGAGAGTCCACGGGCAGCAACTGTGGGAACCCGCACGCCTAAAGCCTGTGCTCCAGAAAACAAAAGAAGCCACTGCAATGAGACGCCCATGCACCACAATAAAGAGTAGCCCCCACTCGCTGCAACCAGAGAAAGCCTGTGCAAAGCAATCGAAGACCCAGTGCAGCCAAAAATTAATAAATAATAATAATAAATAATTAAAATCACATAGCCCCGGCCTACATGTGGAACAGTAGTGCCACACAGAAAGTGAGAGTGTGCACCAGGCACAGTGGGGACACTGGCCCCTCTCCTGGCCCATCCGTTGCCCCTCTTCCTGAAGAGCAGACACGGGAGACGTGCGGGCTGGGGCCAGAGCATCTGCACTTACCACAGTTGTCCGGATCCTCGTCAGAGCCGTCTTGGCAATCCATGTCACCATCACATGCCCAGCGCTGGGGGATGCAGTGCCCGTTTCGACACTGGAAGTTGGAGGCCTCACAGGTGTGATAGATGGCTGCCAGCGAAACAGGAAAGAAAAATGGTCAAGGCCTCCTTCACCTCCGTGGCCCCATCATCCTCAGGGGCCGACTGCAAAGGAGGAGCATTCTAACAGGTCTAATAGGTATGACGGGGGACTACCCTAAAGGCAGAATGCAGCCTCCTGAAGGGGCATCAGCTCGAGCCTTGGTGTTTATCAGTGTTACACAAGCACAGATGCACACGTTAAAAACTCAGTCACTTTCACAGCAACCTATGAGATCAGTACTCCCCATTTATAGATGAGAATGAGGTTTAGGACACTCAGAAGGTCACCGAGAGTAACAAAGATAATGAACTAGTAATAGCACCAGGGCTGTCCAAGTTCAAAGCCTGGGCTTCCTCCAGCCCACCAGGCTCCTTAATCTTCTCACTCCTCCAGATTCTGCTGGACAAGAACAGGCAGTGGGTACTTGGGGCTCTGGGTCCTAGACCTGCTCCAGACACTGTAGGGACCTTGATGTCATCATCTGCATTGATATCTAAAGAGCCCTGTAAGTTGTGAAAGGCCCTGATTTTATCATTCTAAATGAATTGCCCAATTTCATAAGTGGAAAACCTCCAGTCCAAAGAGTATAAAAGATCCATCTAAAATCACAAAGAAAGCAGGCCTAAAAACCTAGAATTCCTTAACTTTCTGGACAGCCAAGAGTGACATCTACCAGCTAATAATACATGGCATCCTCTACAATCATTAAAAGAAAACAAAAGGCCAGGGAAATAGTCACTGTTATAACTGAACAGGCTCATTTGCATACACGGGCTGAGGCCACCTGGAAGTCATTTAGAAAATGTCAAAACTTCAGTCAGACTATTTCAGATGCATAGTATCTGCCTGCATCCCAAGCGACACAACTGGCCGCCTTCTCCATCAGATTTCCCTTCCCTCCTCTGATGCAGAGAGCAGTTTGTGTCTGTTCACTGCTGAATGCAAGGCAGGCCTGGCCTTGTTTGCAACCAGCATGAAATAACATAACCAAGACAGACGGGCTCTCTTGGTTGAACTGTGTGGGCAGGGTGTCCTTGTGACAGGAGCGGGCAAAACAAACAAACGTGGGTTGCTGAGTGCAAACCATAGTTACCTATTCAGTTGAGATGGTTGGTAATAAGTGACTCAAGGGTTGGGAAAATGGGCTTCCAATGCCCTCTAGAATTGCTACTGCATTTGAGGCTATTTTGGGAAATAGTTTGAAATACAGAGTCCCTGATTTTTCAAACCACTTTACAACAAAAGGTGGTCCACCAACTGTTGTCTTCTCAAAGACCAATGCTATGTCCAGTCACATGCAAATAAATCTACAGGAAGTTTCAATATTTTACAATATTGGCACTCAGGATCCATTAAACATCTTTATAAATACACTTATCTCTGATAAGAAAAATAAATGTGTCCCTGCATGCTAGATGAGCTTTGCCCTGGTAATAGCCATTGCCTGGAATACTTCTGATTTATTGGCTTTACAAATCTGATAGCCCTTTAAAAAATTCCTCACCAAAGCCTTGCTCGCTATCATAAAAGATACTGTCACCTAAACCACCACCACACTGAAATACTCACTATTATTCAGCCTATGGATTTCAATTGAAAACAATTTCAGAGTGCTAATGGAGTTTCCAAGTGGACAACGCTGAAGAGCATGTTTGACATCTCCAGATTCTATCACTGGTGCTGAGCTGAGAAAGACTAATTAATTTGCACAATTTCATTCAAGTGGCCAGGAAGGGCTGGCATGCTTAACATAGTCTCTTTTTCTGTCTTCTGAGTAACTTACTAGCTCTCTGACATTGAGTGTCTGATGAATGATATATGTTCAATTGATAATATTTAATTGTAACGATGAAAGAGATGGACTTTAAAATAGACTAAAGAATTTGAGGTAGATAAAGAAGAATCCTTTGCATAGCAGGGTCCATCATGACTGTAAGAACAGAAGGGCTAAAGGGGCAAATGATCATGAAATTAAAATCAGGGTTTCTAACAAACGCCATTACCCTCCGGCTTACTGTTTGACATGAACACATCTCTCCTGACTCGGCAAGACCCTCTGTGACACCTGATCAAAAACATTAGCCAAATAAAAGTGGAGCAGAAGAGATAAGTTAATTACCATGACAAGAAAAGCACTGCCTTATTATAAAGCACTGGACTCTCAGAAAATGAAGGAGGGAAAAAAATGCTAGTATCAATACAACTCGAATGATTAATAATGTAAAAAATAACATAAAGCATACAGAACAGTAAAAAATAAAAGGCAAATTTGAAAAAAGAACCAAATAGAAATTCTCGATCTAAAAAATATAGTCATAGAAATAAAAACAGCTCAGTGGATGTGTGAAACAGGAGATCAGATTCAGCTGAAAAGAGGAATGTTGAACTGGAAGAGAAATCTGAGGAAATAACTCAGAGTCATAAGGAGACAGCAAATCTAAAAACCAAAGGCATAAATATCAGAATGAGAAAGTCCAGCGAATGGCTGATAGCTGCTGCTAAAGACAGAAGAAGACAAAGTAGCAAATAGACATAGCAGAAAAGATAGTGGCTGCAGCTTCCTAGAACTGATGAAAAACATAAATCCTCAGATTTCAGAAGGACAACAAACAGGATAAATAAAAATAATTTCACGCCTAGGTAGGTGAAACTGTGTAATAAACAAAATATAAAAAACCTAAAGGCAACTAGAGAGAAAAGAATGACAGTTATTATTGGAACAGATAATCTGACAGGAGAATTGAAATCAACACAAAAGAAGCCAGAAAGAAATGGAAAAATTCCACCAAAACACTTAGGGAAAATTACTACAAATCTAGAAAACTGGCTGCATCAATTTCAGTGTTGAGAACTAAAGAAAGACATGTTTATATAAATAAAAACTTTAAGTTTACTACTCATAGACTCTGCTACAAAATACTGAAGGATGAACACAGGAAGGAAGCAGTAAACACAAGAAGGTGAGGTGACAGGTTTCTATAAATAAGTTTGGTTACTAAAAGATAATAATGATGACTGATTTTAGGATTTTTTAAATGTAAAGTTAAAATATGAAGTATTTCACGGTTTTATTTTGTGGGTGGGGGCCATAACATACAGCATGTGGGTTCTGAGTCCCCCGACTAGCGATTGAGCCCAAGCTCCCTGTGTTGGAAAGGTGGAGTCCCAACCATCGGACTGACGGCCAGGGAAGTCCTCGTGTTTTAAAATACTAAATATATACTAAGTTTGTCAATACTGACATTATGGGCAGAGACTGGAATCAAGGCAGGTCCAGGACAGGGGAAAGATATTAGGAATACGCATTAAGATGTCTAGGGCAACAGCTAAATGCACAGAAATGAAAAGTTCCAAATCAGTGCAGGGGGAGAATAAAAGAAACTCAATTCCATGGAAAGCAAAATAAGGAAGGGGAAGAGCCATGGAAAGGCCCAGTACAGACCACGCATGAGACCTGAAGCCCAGAAGAAGTCAGCAGGCCTTGACCCACTTCTTTGGCTCTGTGTGACTTAACTTACTAGGCCAGGAAACGAAGTAACCATACAGTGAGCTCACATACCACCTCCAACTAATCTACGGATGAAGACGGACAATTGCCTTTAAAAGGTTTGGAAGCACAGCCGTTGGAACAAGGTTGCAGTGGCCGTGTAGGCACCCTACATTTCCCCAGGCAGCCCTGCCAGAGGAAACGAGAGACAAAACCTGGGTCAGTGACAAGCCTATCCACAGAAGTGAAGTTGTTAATTCACTGTGGAGGACCAGCTCATGCAGCTGAAACACAAGTTTGACAAATGTGATTGTGCTAATAATACATCCAGTCATCATGAAACTTACAAATGGAAATGCCCAGAGGCACCCCTCTAATTTATCAATCAATGACACTTTCTGGGCTGATGGCAGTTCCTTCCAAGACCTTGTTTATCCCTCCTTCTGCAAGCCAGGCTTTCAAAGAAAGCAATACCTGCAGTCGTTCCAGAAGCAGAGGGGCACACAACAAGACTGTGCCAGAGAGGACACAGGGATGAGGAGTTAACGAGCTGGGCAGGAATCTGGTAACATCACAGATCACCCAGTGTGACATATCTGGCCTTTGAGTAGGTCCATTTATTCCTTAAAGCCACATAAAGTCACCTCTAAAATGGAGTATTACAGTTGTGTCAAATTACCCAATCAACAAAGGTTCTATGAACTGGGCATTGCGAGAACATAAAGGAGTAAAAGATCATTTCTGTCCTTCACAAACCAAATCTAAACCAAAGCAGACCCCAAGAGTGCGATATAATAGCAGGTCTACTTTTTTCTTTTTTGCTTTTAGAAATTAGGAAGCATGCTCTAAGATCCCAGCTGCTGGACAGTGTAGGAACTGCCAGGATACTGCTGGGGTAAGGACAATTATTAAGATATTGGAATGAGGGACTTCCCTGGTGGGCCAGTGATCAGGACTTTGCCTTCCAATACAGCGGGTGCAGGTTTGATCCCTGGTCAGGGACCTAGTATCCCATGTGGCCAAAAAACCAAAACATGGGACAGAAGCAGTGTTGTAGCAGATTTAATAAAGACTTTTAAAAAAGGTCCACAGCAACAAAAAATCTTTAAGGAAAAAAAAGGGAATGAAAAGTGATTTAATCCACAAGCGTGAAGACCCATTAACAATAGATGACAAAAGGAAGCCTGAAATACCAGATCTGCCCTCACTTGCCACAAAAGGGTTAAAGGAAACATCTTTATCACCAACACTGGCGGGATTTAAGGTAGAACTGAGTGACAATTTCTAAAGGAGGGAGCAGACAAAATTTACTCATCAGCTTGTAGGATTTGTTTTTCTGCCTCTACAACTGTCCCAACTCCTTGCTCTCCCCAACTCCATCATAATGTACATGCCCTCATTTGTTCATTCATTCATTCATTCATAAAAAAGTGGCGTGAACATAAGTGAACCTAACACCAGCAGAAGAATTAGAATCTTAGACCACTCAGCCTTCTCAGTCTCCTGCTGTTTCCAACTTTTATCTTCAATGAAATCTTACCCCAAATAGGTGCAAGCACAATTTAAGTTTTCACTGTTTAGGGAACATCTTGATGCTCCATTCCAAAACATGAGCTTGTTCACTGCTCCTCAACGTATGGTCCCCAGACCAGGGGCCAGTCTGTAAACTCTTTGCTACTGTTCCTAGGAAAATAAACTTGAGCCAAAATGTAAAACAACTGTATCACTCATGACATTGCTCAGTTAATATTCTTCCATAGCAAGACTTTCTCAATGAAGGAAGCAAAGAGCTGGTAACATTTTGGCACAAGGTGATCACAGACCAGCTCTTAGTTTCTAAGGTCCATTTCTTAGAGCCTTGATTCTGTGATCATGTAGGGCTGTAATGCTACCCACTATATGAACAGGTTAAGTGCAGCTCAGGGAGTCCAGGAAATACTGACCAGTACAGTTGGCTTCATCAGACCAGTCCCTGCAGTCGTTATCCCCATCGCACACCCAGGAGGAGCGGATGCACATGCCAGAGCTGCAGCTGTATTCGTCGCCCCGACACTGGTGCATTTCTGCAGGTGAGACCACAGACAAGGATGTGAGCACAAAAGCTTGCTCAGAATTCTGTCTCTGATGTCAGGGCTCCTGGTAGTTAGAGATGCACCCAATATCCCCATCATCACTGATAATCCAGAATTCATGGAGGAAGACTTAAACCAGGGATGGAAAATCATCAGGAATGGTGCCCAAGTATAGCTGGCCCTCTGGACCTGTAGGTTTTGCATCCATGGATTAAACCAACCATGCACCGTATATTTCCCAGGTAGCTGAGTGATAAAGAATCTGTCTGCCAAACAGGAGACTCGCATTCAGGCCCTGGATTGGGAAGATGCCCTGGAGTAGGAAATGGCAACCCACTCCAGTATTCTTGCTGGGAAAATCCCATGGACAGAGAAGCCTGGCAGGTACAGTCCATGGGGCCACAGAGTCAGACTCGATCTAGTGACTAAACAAAAAACAACATCATTGGGTACTACATTATGATCCATGGTTGGGTGAATCTGTGGATGCAGAATCCGTGAATATGGAGGGCCAGCTATAGGACTTGAGCATCCATGGATTTCGGAACCTAAGGTGGGTCCTGGCACTGATGCCCTATGGATACCCAGGGACAACTGCAGTGCACTGTGAACGGGGCACAGGTGTGCTGAGATCCTGACACCTCACACTCAAGGCCTCTAGGCAACAAAGGTATTGTCCATTTATCTTGGTCCACTTTACAAATGTTTTCTATGCTTCCCATGATGGGCAGAAGGTTGGGGAAGCAATGCTCTGGTTGCCCAGAAAGCCACAATTTCAGAAGACTTCTAGAGACAGAACCTGTGGTTTCAGAAAAGGAGTGATGAGAACCTCAAAAGTACAGATCAGTGTTAGGTGCTCAGCTCAGGAAAAGCAAGTCCAGTGCTGAGCTCTCTGAACAGAGAGGCGGGGGACTTTCCATGAGCAGAGCTCCAGGGATGCTGGCTGGTGGGCTGTCTCGGGGAGGGTGGGGGCTGGAGGCAAATGAACCCGGGCAGCCTGACCAAGACAGGAAAGGCGGCTGTACTGGCAGAATCTTATGTAGACCCTGGGGACAGCAGCAACAGAGGACTTTCACATGGAACTGTAAAGAGTCCAGGAAAACAGGAGTAGCCAAGACGACTGGGGTCCCAGGGTGGCGGCCTCAGTAAGAGAGGCTGATGGTGAACTGGGGAAGCAGATATTCACGGGGACACAGTCTGGAGACTCTCAGAGAGGACCTGGATCTGAAGAGGGGATCACTGAGACCCCGAGATGGATTCAGGACGCACCAGCATAAATAGGCCACAAGCAGAGGCTCTGAGGGACAGACACTGTTTAATGGTCAAATGTGTGTCCAGTGACAGGCTGAGAGGACACCTGATAAATGGGTGACCACGTGGTGATTCCTCCGAGAGAGCAAAGCCGGCCACACACCTGTGCCCTCAGAGTGCCTAGGGGACGAGGGAGGGATGAAGGGAAAAGTGTGAACCCCAAGGACTGTTTCCTGGAACTCTGTGTTTTACAAAGATGAAGGAAAACGATGTAACCACCCCCAAAAAAACTGCTCTGAAGGTTCCCCTTATTTCAGTCCTGGTGAATCAAACCCCTGCCCGTGGTGACGCGGGCCCCATCTGGAAGCACAGGCCCAGCTGGACTGGACCTGCCCCTGTGGACACACAGGGACCCCACGGGGCCTCACTGAGCCTTCATAGTGGTGGGGTCAGTGTCTGGGCCCCAGGCTGAGACACTCTGAGTATTGCACTGTGTTCCCTCCCACAATGGTCAGCAGCTACGGGCTTGGTACCAGAGCCCAGCAACTAAGACAGGCCTCCCAAAACTGACAGGAGAGCATTATGCAACAAGAAGGGCATACGAAACACGGTTCCAATTCCCTTTTCTGACACAAACTAACAGTGTTCTCCTGAATAAGCCCCCTAACCTCTGTGGACCACTGTCGTTTCACCTGGAAATCAAAGGACTGAAGTAGAGAATCCCACCGCTGCTTCAGTTCCAACACACTGTTTTCCTAAATAAAAATTTCCATCCAGAAAACAGGTGCTCAAATAATATCTATGCCATCCACTGACTTCTAACAGGGTTTCCTGAATTACATGAGTTTAAAAAAAAAGAATTCACAAAGGTATAGCTCTGGGTCTACAAGAGGCTCATCTCACAGCCACCCAGAAATGTGGGCTAAGGTTGTAGAGCCGTTAATAAACGCCTGAATTCATTTAGGAACCTTCCTTACTCGTACACTCGTGTGCACAGAAGCACTGCAGAATGACGGGAGTTCTATCCCTTTATGAATGAATCACTCCTACCACGTGTATGGAGCTGGCCGTGCAAATGACATCACAAATCCCACAATGATGTTCAGAAACCCTCCCTTTCCATCCCTCCCCATGAGCAAGAGTGCGGCCCCTTCTGAACATCATGCCTCCTTACCACAGTGACTTTCATCGCTGTTGTCGCCACAGTCATCCTCAAGGTCACACTTGTAGGAGAGGGGGATACAGGTCCCAGACTCATGGCAGCGGAACTGGGTGTCCAGATCACAGACGGTGGTTGCTAAGATGGGAAAGAGAGACAACAGGCTCATTCGATCCAATCAGCTCCCCCCAAGACATCCCACTGGAAAGTGATGGAAGCAGGTTTTCATTGTAAGATGAATTTCAACAACAGAATTGAAACCTCAATGTACAGAAAAACTTAACTGTGTGATAGCCTGAAATTTACAGCCAAGGGACATAAAGGCCTATCCTTCCGTGGACGGCTTCCAGATGCCAACGGGGCTGGGGAAAGTGAGAAGCCGTCGTCTAGCTGGGAGATGGTGTGATGTACTCGATAAGCCCCTAGGACCACCCCCACAGATGTGATGGTGTCGTTCTAAATAACTAGCAGATATACCATTATCTGGAAAACTACCATTAGGAAGCCCACTTTGACCCACAAAGCTGGCCCCTCAACACACAGATGACAGAGGGAGGGTGGAGAGAAAGTTCTATAGCAGGAGCAGGGGCCCTGCAGTCAGGCGGGACTGGTTTCAAATCATGGCTCTATTTCTTCCTTCAGAAATTAATATTAACCTCCCTGAGCCTCAGTTTCCTCCGCAGGAAAAGGAAGATAAGGTAAAGTGAGCAGGCGCTTGTGATGACAAACACAATGACCAGAGATTCGGATTAATTCTACCACCCACAATTCACTCTACCCAACCCCTCTGGGCCTCTGTTCCTGCTACTGTGAAATGGGGACAATACCTACCCTCCTGGCATTACTATGAAAGTCAATGAGCAAACAACTTTTGGACCAGTGCCCATCATGAGGATGAAATACTATGGGCTCCAAACAAATGTTAACTTCTCTTCCCATCCATCCTCATGCCCTTCTGCTCAGAATGTGAACATAATTTCTCCCTCTTCTCAATAGAAATGATCCAGATTTAGACATAAGCTATAGAACCTTGCAGAAAAGGCTTCAGGAAAGAAAGCTGCTCCCAGGAATAGAACAGAATCCTGCAAAGAAAGTGGGGGTGGGGTGCCATGAAGTGAGAAGCGGGTGGCAACCCCACAATCAGACGTCCCTGACAGCTCTTATTTGAGGCTCCATTTCTTCTCCATAATTGAGCTCATGGTGGGAGGCAGGGGATGAATGCAAAAATGACAAGACTGCAGGGGGTTTACGTCAAAACCCCCAGCAACTGACAACCACCCAGGGCAGGAGCCTGCCAAAGAGGAAAGGGGATCTGCCGACAGAATTCCTCCCACACCTGCCTCTATCTCCATGCCTTTCCTCTTCCCTGGCAGCTGAAGTGCGGGGGGGCCTCACTTAACTTCCAGACTGCGCTGCCCAGCCATGGCCTGGCCCCTCCTATAGGCCTGCCTGGACCAGCGTGCCTCTCACCACCTCCTTGTTGATGACAGAGACCCTCAGGAAGGCTCAGACAAGCACTACTCTCCTGGCTCCCAGGCTCCACATTTCATCCCCTGCATCCCTCACCTCCACCACATCTGACTAGTTGGGACCCGAGCACATGGAATCATGAGAAAGCAGAGCAGAACTGATGCTTTCAAACTGTGGTGCTGGGAAGACTCGTGAGAGTCCCTTTGACTGCAAGGAGATCAAACCAATCCATCCTAAAGGGAATCAACCCTGAATATTCATTGGAAGGACTGATGCTGAGGCTGAAGCTCCAATACTTTGGCCACCTGATGCCAACAGCTGATTCACTGGAAAAGACCCTGATGCTGGGAAAGACTGGAGGCGGGAGAAGAAGGGGATGACAGAGGACAAGATGGTTGGATGGCACCATCGACTCAACGGACATGAGTCTGAGCAAGCTCCAGGCGATAGTGAAGGATAGGAAGGCCTGGCGTGCTGCAGCTCATGGGGCTGCAAAGAGTCAGACATGACTGAGTGACTGAACAACAACAAGAGCAGAAAGCAAGTCTCGGGATCTTGGGAGGGTCAGTTACAGCTGACATTTGCACCAAACCAGGAGGAGGGCAGAACTGGCTGCAAAATGCAGCCCAAGGAGAAGCTTAAACTCTTCAGGGAAACCTGCGAGCTCAGGGGCTAGCAGGGAGGAGATGGAGGGAAACTTCCTAGCAAAACAGTGAACCAACATGCAAGCCCACCACGTGCATCTAGTGGAAACCACAGCCCAGGGACCCAAGAGGAACTCCTTGCCAGTGGACATGAGGCCATTCAATCGATAGCTCTTTGCTTCCACTATGTCTCATCACATCTGGTTAATTTTCTTGCAACGTGTTAATTCTAAGACGTGTCTCCTTGCCCACTCTGTTCCATAACAAACTCCTCTCCAGTATCTGCTCTAACGATGTTAACATTAACTGTTTCCAAGGAGCTTTGGCTATTTCCTCACAAATATCACACCTTCCTGAGACCCTGGTCAGTAGAGGAGGTTTGATGAATGCACCTTTAGCAGAAAAAAAGAATACACAGAAAGGCTACCGCTCTAGTAATAAATTAGATTTTTATCTAATACTCCTCTCCCTGGGGATGAAAGGCAGCCTCTGAAGCCAAGGAAAAATGATTAAGGAAGGTTTGGTAATAACCTACACGCTAGAAAAGGCAGTTCATGGGATGGCAGGGCCCAAGTGAACTGAACAAGTTGACTGCTTCTAAAGTGGCTTTCTGGAAGGAGCAGCATGGGAACTGGCCCAGGCTCTTCAGATAACTGGCAAAATAACACCCACCAGAGGCAAGGTGGGTACGAGACAGGACCCAGCCATTAATCTGTGCTTACAACACAAAATGATAAATAAGCTTACAGATTTCCAAAGGCAAAATATTTAAAAGAGAAGGCTTTAGATGGGTGTCTGGCTTCCCTGCTCTGGCCTTTCTCCCATCTCATTCATTCTGCCCACATCTTATCTTTCCAAAGACAAAGTCTAAGCCTGTCATTTCAAGGGATGCAAGCTGTTCTTTTCATAAAATTCAAAGGTCTCATGCACCCGTTCACCCTCCTACTTGCCCCCACTGCTCCCACCTGAGTTCTTCATGACCCATGCCACTTTTCTGCCCACACCACACACACACCAACCTCAGGGCTTTCGTCCATGTGAACGCCTTGTCTGGAACTTTCCTCCCTCTACCTCTGCCTGGTCCCCTCTGCCCGCTTTTCCTGGGACCCTCCCAAGGTCTGAGCTGGGTGCCACTCTTAAGGCTTGTTAAGGTGCGTGGCGCTGCCCCATTACAGGACCCACAGCTCACATGTGCTTGGTTGGGTACTTCCCTGACCACCCCCCTTCAGACTGTAAACTCTTGTGTCCACTTTAGTCACCAGTTTATCTCCAAGCCCAGCACAGAGACTGGAACACCAGGGTCCTCAATATACACCTGTTGAGTGAACAGGTCAACACGCTACCGACTGACACCTCCTTAGGAGATGATGTCAAAGCCACTAAAAATGAACTGAAGGAAAGATGGCCAAATCTGCAGTAAACAGAGTATCCACTATAAGTAGTTATTTTTGTCCTGAACTCTGCTAAACAGGATTACATACTTTAATAGTTAGACCTGAGAAATTACATATTCCAAAGACGACACCTACACACACACAAACCAACGTTCCCACATCACAGGCCAAACCTGGCATCACTACTCAGCTTGAATAACCTCTCCTGAGCCTGGCAGGCAGCTGGCATCCCCTGATTAGAGGTAACAAGGGAAAACTTGTTCCCCATCCCTGAAAAGGCTGAACATTGAATTTAAATTCAAGGGCTATCACCCGGTCACCTGTCTCAGGTCACCAGCTCTATCTCCAGGGAAGGGCCACAGTCAGAGCCCAGACAGCCTGTCTCCCAAACCAGCTTGGTTTCAACCATGCGAGGCTTATTTGTAAATCTCTTGTAATGAGTACCTAGCTTACTTATGGGGGGTTGCTTTTAAATAATAATATATATCTAATGTGCTCACGTGTGTGCTCAGTCCTTCACTTGTGTATGACTCTTGTGCGACCCCATGGACTGTAGCCTGCCAGGCTCCTCTGTCCATGGGATTTCCCAGGCAAGAACACTGGGGTAGGCTGCCATTTCCTCCTCCAGAGGATCTTCCCAACCCAGACACTGAATCCGCGTCTCCTACATTGGCAGGCAGATTCTTCACTACTGAGCCACCTGGAAATTGCACATATGTAATAGGGTATGGAAGTATGTTTTCTCTAGCCACTTAAATGGGCATCATTGATCATGGGGGCCCTACACTCCAGGCCCCGCCCAGGAGGTGCGGACTGGCTGACTGTACCAGGAAATGCCTATCCTCCCAAAACTCTGCCAAGCAGGGACTCACGGCAGTTTCTCTCGTCGCTCATGTCTCCGCAGTCATTGTCAAAATCACACCACCAGATGCTGTTGATACACTTCCCGTTGTTGCACCGATACTGGTTGCGGAGACAGGTGTTCTCTGGCCATGGAGGGAGGCAGAGGAGAAAGTGAAACCAACATCATTCTTCCTGCTGGACCATAAGACTTTCTGTTCTGAGTTTCCATTCATCTTCCTCAAATAACATGCCTCAAACAGCAATGGGGAAGGGGGATGTTTTGCACAGGGGCCCGCAGGGAAACCAGCATCCGAGGAGACCTCCTTCTCTCCTCTTTTAATTAAAATTGAAGGAGGAGAGGCCTCTAGAAGCAGCAGAGGGGGTTACAATGGTAAAAAAGGAGAGTGATGGTGTCAGGTGGATCTAGCAGGTAGAAACATATAAACACCATAAAATACTAATTCCAGGGGCTTTCTTGGCCACTCAGTGGCTAACACTTTGCACTTCCAGTGGTTAATACTTTGCAGGGGGTGTGGATTCAATCCCCAGTCTATGATCCTACATGCCGCAGCCTAAAGAGAAAAAAAAAAATTACTAACTCCACAAGGAATTCTTTAAGCGACTGTGTAGCTATTGAAGAGAAGTGAAGTGAAAGTTGCTCAGTCATGTCCGATTCTTTGTGACCCCATGGACATCCATGGGATTCTCTAGGCCAGAATACTGGAGTGGGTAACCTTTCCCTTAGGGGATCTTCACAACCCAGGGATTGAACCCAGGTCTCCAGCATAGCAGGCAAATTCCTTACCAGCTGAGCCACAAGGGAAGCCTATGTAGCCATTATCCAAATATACAAATTCAATATATCTATACCTATATAGTTTAGACAAACTATGGTCATATATATTCATGTGTGTTCTATTTAACAACCAGGAGGATTATGGAGATTTGCTTTACATATTTTTGAGGATTTTTTCCTACCCCATGACTCCTTCAAAGTGAGCAGTTATAATTCCTCACATAGGAAAAAAAAAAAAAATGCACTGTTCAGTCAACTGGGTTAAGAACACGTGATGACTGGCCTCCTGTCTGGATTAAGTAAAGGCTTTCTGACAGGGATACAGAAAGGCTCTTTTCTCCTCCTTCTGGAATTCAGTGTTAACCCCATTTCTTCCCAAACAACTTTAAGGCTCTGGTCATCACCAGAGCCTGAAAGAGTGCCCCTGTGTCTTAGACAAAAAGGTTCATCTTTTTTCCATCTGTATTTCTTAAGAGGGCCCAGAAGGCCACTTTGCAGTTTTTGCTTCCCTGGATTTAAAGGCTGCTGTGAGAGGGTAAGTTATGATTACAAAGCAAATATAAGCTTGAGAATAAGGAAAGGTAGGAATCCAGGCCATGTTCATCAACAGGATACTTTGTGGCAAGGCCCCTCCAGGGGCTCACCTCCTGGAAAGAAATGTGAGGCTGGGGACTGGGGAAATGGTAAAAGGAAAAACTAGACAGGGAAGAAAGATGTAACAGGTATTCAGGGTGACATGTTAGAATCTGTGTGTTCAGATTCCAAGAGGGTTGGGGCGAGGCTGCTGCAGACATCTGGCTGTGGTTTAAGAGGAAAGACTCTAAGTGCTGTGCAAAACTGATCAGAAAGTTCTGATGTTGCTAGGCTGGGCAGGGAGGGGGAACTGCTGGATGAGACGAGGTGAGCTTTGCAGGAGTCCTTTGTTGAAGTCAGGGTGGTCCAACTGTACCCTGCACCCTTTTAGAAGCAGGAGGAGCTGGGAATGATTGGTGTGGGGTGGATGAGGAGAGGAAGAGGCAGAAAAAGGAAAGAAAGGTGCACTCACAGGAAGGTCTGCATCCCCCGACATTTAACCCAAAAGCAACTCATCTTTAAAAGAACAGCGTGGGCCTGCTCTGGATGAGGACTGAGGGACCACGGGCCTTGGAAAGTGAACTAGGATGCCCGTGTCTAGAGGGTTTTATTGTCTATCTTGGGCATTTTCAATAACCCCAAACACGAGTGCATCAAGGACACATCGAAGGGGGAGGATGGGCAGAAAAGGAAGACGGGGACGTACCTTCTTTGACACACGTGTGGTTCTTCAGCTGGTAGCCGTGAGGGCACTCGCACATCAGGTCCCCGGACGGGAGGACACTGCTGGACACGCCGTCTGGACACCGGCAGCTCCTGCTGCCGTTGGCCTTGGGCAGGCACAGCAGGCTGCAAGGCCGGGATGCACAGGCGTTGCTTCCTGGAGAGGAGACAGGTGGCAGCGGCCAGATTAGCAGACACCAGGGGGTGCCAAACGCAGGCCTGAGACCGGGGGACTCCTTTTGCAGACTCACAGACCCTACGATAAGCTCAGGAAGAGAAAGGTGAAGTGGCGAGCATGAGGGGGCCCCAGCTGGATCGGATGGCCCCAGAACCAAGCCCACTGGGAATCTGGATGGAGGACGTTGGGACACCACAAGGTAGGTGGGGGGCTGCAGCGGGGAGGAGGGTCGTCGCCTGGGGGGTGTCTCAGGGGACGCAAGGCAAAAACCTGTGTCAGAGGCAGGCAGGTAAGATCAGTCTGCAGCATCAGGAGGATGAAGCCGACTTAGGAAGAGAAGAAAGGATGACACCGGTACCCGGGGTGCGGGGGTTGTGGGGCTCGGCCAGGCCCGGCCCCAGTCCCCATCAGCACACCTGTGCCTCCTATCTTGGGTTCCTTCCCATCTCCCTTCATTCTTTCCATAGCACTTTTAGCGTGAGTGTTTTTCCGTGCCTTGTGACCCAAAAGCCCCTAACTAGAACATACACCCAAGTAATGACAGGCCCCAGACAGAAAATCTGAGGCTGCCTCCTTGATTCCTTTGTGCTGTTGGAGCACAGCCGCCGAGCTCAACGAGGAACCGACCAGACGCCCGTCAGGCAACAAATCCACGGGCAATGGGCCCACAGAAGGACCGACTAATGCTGATCTAGCCCACTGTTTCCAATCTTTTCTGTGGTTCCGCTTCCCAAAGAGAATGCCAGCTAGAGTCCATACGATCCTCCACTGCACTCTCGAGAGAGAACACTTCTGGATGCACAGTGACGGAAGTGTTTTCTATCCCCCTCATCCTTCCGGGAAGGAGACAGAGGAGCCCCAACAGAGGAAACCATTTCCTCACAGCCGAACATGTGATACAATGATCAAGCAATGTGAAAGTCACGTAAACTAAGAAATGCGCATTTTTCTTTTTGCCTGTGACTACTCATAATCAAAACTAAATAGGGGCTTCCCTGGTGGCTCAGTAGTTAAGAATCCACCAGGAAGATCCCACATTGTTACGGAGCGGCTAAGATCCACGTGCCACAACTACCGCAGCCCACATGCCTAGAGCCCGCACTCCTCAACACGAGAAGCCGCCTGAACGAGAAGCCCGCTCACCACAACTAGAGAAAAGACCCATGTATGCTAAGTAGCTTCCGTCGTGTCTGACTCTCTGTGAGACCATGGACTAAAGCCTGCCAGGCTCCTCTGTCCATGGGATTCCCCAGGGAAGAATACTGGAGTGGATTGCCGTTTCCTCCTCCAAGGGATCTTCCCAACTCAGGGATTTAACCCGTGTCTCTTATTTATGTCTCCTGCGCTGGCAGCCATGTGTCTTCCCCACTAGCGCCACCTGGAAGGCCAACAAACACCCAGCACAGCCAAAAATTAATAAATAGTTTTTTTTTTTAATTGGGGAAAATAAATGTAAACGCTTGGGTAAAACTCAGCTGATAAAGATTCTTCAGTTGCGCCCTCTCAGGGACAGAGGACCCCACGAAAATCAAATCTAAGTAATCTGTTTCCAGCCAGCCAAAGTTTAACCTACGCCATCCTGGCCTGCAGGCTGGGAAACAGGGTTCATTCGTGACAATTGGTAATAAGACAAGTGACGACATAGTCATAAGCCGCAAATGTGTTGGCATCTCCTCGGTGTTTAACTGGTGTAAACTATACATAAAAAATAAAATTCCTCATGATACAGCAACAGTGTTGCTTTAATGCTAAGGATCCAAGAGCACAAGGCATTACCAAGTGAATAAAACACACACAACCAGGGGGAGATCTGTTTGATGAAACATTCAAAGGGGTCTGCAACAGACTCCATCAACCCATGGGCGGGACCATCACAGTGAATAACCTGCTGATGGAAGCAGAAATGCCAGGAACCAGCTCCCTCTCATCTGTTCTGTGGGCAGATGCCCATCCCTTTATCTCAAATGCACCTGCCGTGGGCTGCAGGAGGGAATGCCGAGCTGCCAGTAACAAAAACAACCCCATCTGGGGCTCTGGAACATGTTCTTTGTCTTCAAAGGACACCATGTCATTCGACGTTCCAAGAAATTGAACAATAATAGAATATTTAACAAACACTCATTGACAGGAGTATTTTCACATGGACTCCGTGAAATAGCATCAGTGATATTTTCACATGCAGGGTTAAGTGTTTCCACCCAAAGAAGGAAACTGAAAGTACAGAACCCAAAAGGAGCTGGAGTATTCCTGGAGACTGGCCCCCACAGGCATGAATGAAACTGGAATCTGAGGGGCACGGCCAGGAACAAACCCCAAACCAGGCAACCAAGTCACTGATCCTAAAGGAGTAGGCAGGGCAGGCACGTGTGGGCAGGTCCAGAGCCATGGCACAGGACTTCCCTGGTGGGCCAGTGGCTAAGACTCTGCACTCCTAATGCACAGGGCCCGGGTTCGATCCCTGGTCAGAGAACTAGATCCCACATGCTGCAACTAAACACCCTGCGAGCTGCAACTAAGACCTGGGACAGCCAAATGAATGAATGAAGAAATAAACAAATATATATCTATTTTTTAAATAAACAGACAAAGCCACAGTACAGAAAATAGGGGCACTGATCACAGAGAACCTGGGAGAACATGAAGGAAGATGAGGCAGAGTTCCATCAGAACACAGCCAAAGACCCCTTCCCTAGGACACCACAGTCTTGTGTGGGCCAGGTGGGTCGTTTGAAGACTGGACAGCTGACAGCCTCCGTCTCCAAAGACGTCCCTCTCGAAGACCAAACATTTAGCCTCGAGAGGCCTTCACTGGACATACCCAGGACATTTACAGATTTCCTCTTTGGAAAATTCCTCCAGAACCCTCTGAGGAGCCAATACTGCTATTATCTGGCTTAACCATCCACACACTCGACAATATCAAAATCAGATCCACCCTGTATGGTAAACAGTTACCCTCATGATAGATATTGAAAACTATGTGTTTACTGCAAGCTCTGAAGGAACATTCCAAGAACTCCAAAACAGTTTAACCCATTGCAGCATCAACTTAATACACCAGTATCCCTGCTGAGAAAGTTGTTTAAAGAAAAGTACACTCTCTATGAAGAGTAAATTCCAGGAACACTGTGTAACAAACAACCAGGTATGAAGACAAAAAAAAGCACCTGTTTATAACTAAATATTCTAAACTGACAAACACTGCAAGTGAACAAAATTCTCATCATCCTAAACAAGAATCCACTAAAACCTACGACTGCTAAATAACTGTCGTACACCAGGGCACTGCTAATCTAACAACAGGTGAGAGGTGGAACAGAGCCTGGTGGTTTCTTGGAAGTTCAAGCTCTGAAGTCAACTAGCTGCTGCTGCTGCTAGGTCACTTCAGTCGTGTCCGACTCTGTGTGACCCCATAGACGGCAGCCCAGCAGGCTCCCCCATCCCTGGGATTCTCCAGGCAAGAACACTGGAGTGGGTTGCCATTTCCTTCCCCAGTGCATGAAAGTGAAAAATGAAAGTGAAGTCGCTCAGTCATGTCCGACTCTTAGCGACCCTAGGGACTGCAGCCTACCAGGCTCTTCCATCCATGGGATTTTCCAGGCAAGAGTACTGGAGTGGGGTGCCATTGCCTTCTCCGGAAGTCAACTAGGCCATGGTTCATATTCTCACCACTAACTAAATGTGTGATGGAGAGAAGTTACTGAACCTGATTTCCGGGTTCTCATCTGTAAAATGGAACTATTAATATAATACACATAGACTTGGGGGAAACTGTTAAATCATGACGACTCTGATGTGACCCCATGGACTGAAGCCTGCCAGGCTCCTCTGTCCAAAGGATTTCCCAGGCAAGAATACTGGAGTGGGTTGCCATTTCCTTCTCCAACCTGAGGTTATGCAAGCCCACTAAGGAAATCAGTGTGGTGCTTAAGACACAGCAAAATCCCTTAGAGTAAATGTCCCTTATCACTGCTGTTATTACCTTACACATGGCTTGTTACAAAGTCCCCGTTGTGTCAGGAGCAGACAACAGAGGTAATAAAGCTTGCCTGGCACTGGCAATTGGCAATACCGTCATAAATTTTCAACACTCTCAAAGTCCAACGGAGCAGGCAGGATGGAGCAAACAAGTTCACGGTCAAGAGGCACCCACTGCAAACAGGCAGTGCTGGCAGCCAGAGGCCACTGCAAACGCTTTAACTCATACAGGCCTGAGAGATGACAAACATGCTTCCCTGGCCTTGCATCTGTGGGCAGGGGGTCCCCCAGAGGCAGGAGACAGGCCAGTATTTCCCCTTTATGTCTTATTTAAATTAGCCAGAGTAGCCTCCAGGTCACAGGGGCGACAGCATAGCAGCTGGGATGAAGTGACCAGCCAAGACTGTGGGTGGGAAACCAGGGTTCTCCGGTCCATCTGAACACAGAGTTGCAAAATCTGAGGCCGTGTGCTCAGCCAACAGGTGCTCACAAGCACATGTCAAAACACAGACCTGCTCTTCCAGATGGGGAGGTAACCGGGAGAAATGTTGATTGTTCCCTTGGCTTGCTGGCGGGTTGGATCAGTCGGGGTGGGTGTCCTCCGTCAAAAGCCCTGAGGTTGCAACCACTAGAGCTGGAAAGCAGGATTCCTCTCTCCCTATCTCATTTATTTCTTTTGTATTTTTTTTTTTTTGGTCTTTCTCCCTATTTCAAAACAGGCACCTCCTCTAGGAAAGAATGTGACTTCGTTTTACGGCAGAACTGGAACAAAAAAAACCTAGCTCCTAAATAAGAGAGGGGCCTTTGGGAAAGCTAATTCATATGTGAGATTCCATTCCCTAATCGAGAAACCACGCTCATAATACCAGCCCTGCCCACCTCACAGGTCAGCTGCAAAGGCACAACAATAATACAAACTTCCATCTCTAGGATTCTTTATAGTTTTCTAAGTGTGTTCTCATGCTCCCCTCTACATTCCCAAAAGCACAGCAGTGATATCTATAACCGTATTACTTCCCCTGAGAGTCAATTTTCTCTTAGCACGGGGCCAGCCAAAAACCACAAGACAACATCAACGTTCTAGTTCAAAACAGGAAACTTAGCAGTCTATCAATAAAGGGCCGTCAGCAGACCCAGGATGCTACTGAGTCCTGCTGAAATAAAGAAGGTTCTTCTTAAAGGGACTATTCTTCTGGGTTGGGGTTGGGGAGCGGGCAGGGGCCCTGATCCCTCTCCTCCATAATTAATAGTGTGACTGGAAGATCAACAAAGGGAACGGGCAATGAAGAAGGAAGAAGGCGTCCTACTGAATGGTCTCAGAGCCTAGGACAGCCAGGCAGAGCCTGGAAGCAGGTCTTAAAGCCTCACCCCATCATCTTTCAGACACTCAGACATTCTCTACAGCCCCTGGTAAGGCTTCCCTGGCCCCATCCCTTCTTCTTCCAGCAACTATGAAGTGAGCAGCGACTGACTGCTGGGCACTGGTAAGATTACTGAGCAAAAAAAAAAGAAGAACCTCCTTCTTCATGGGGTTGAGAGTTTCATGGTAAGGACAAGAAATAAGTAACTAGACTCTGCCATGCAAGAGAAGCAGGTTTCAATGAGTGATCCGTCATCTGAAGGACCAGAGAAGACCGGACTCCTATCGGAAACCAGCAACTGGCTGTGCACCGGCACAGCATGGCTCCCTGTCCGGGTGCCAAATGGGGATGCAGCGCACGCTGGGCCTCTCGGGCAGCAGCAGAAGCCACACCGCCCAGCGTCAGGGGCCAGAGGCAGGAGGAGGGTGTAATTACCCAGCAAACACCAGCGTTCCAGGCAAGCAAAGACATGCTGTCTTCCAGCTGTTTGTGTATCATTAGAAAATAAATTAAGATGTCATTAGGAAGAAATTAAATAATGTGCATGTTGTCATGACAACAATGACACAGGCTGCCAGATCGTGCTTCAGAAGGGATTGCCCACACCCAGCCCCTTTCGAGAGATCAACGCGACAGAGATGGAAGAGGGCATGCTGCCTTACCAGTTGTCTTGCCCCGGTAGAAAATCTTCAAGTCCATGGGCCCTGTAAGCCGGCTCGCCAGAATGGCCATGTCGGACCCGCTGTACTTGGAAGCTCGGAAGATGCTGAGCTGTGACCAGTCATCCCAGTAAATCTCATTCTAAAAAGAAAACCTTCACTCGTTAGCCAGCTCTTCTTTCACTCAGAACCCGCATTGAGAACAAGAACTCCACTGTGGAGTGGACACCTAACATTCACTGGATGAATGATCAGCGTGAGCAAGATGCCAGTTAAAGGCAGGAATCAGTGCTTTTATCCAAACCTCACCAAATATCCACATTGAAGGAACCGCCTCAAAGAATCTATCCAATGAGCATTCAGGTGTGACCATAAGCTCAACCCTTGAGTTCAAAATCTGAAGAACCACTTTATGTTGCAAGGTTGAAGCACCAGTGACAAGGCCCCCAGGAGGCAAGGTGGGGCTCATCTCAAGACAATAGGGAATGAAGAGAGCAATCCTCACAGCAAACCACAAGTCAGAGCCAATCGGAGGCTACCAACACTGAATGGCAAGCCAGGAATTTTCATCAGATGCAACCTTGAATTTCAACCTTCTGAAATGAGAATGATAAGCACCCTGGATCCCTGGCAGCTGGGTCTGGAATCGCTCCCTAGGGGCCGAAAGAAACTGCCTCCAATTCAGAAACGAGCTGATTTTCTACAAGTTTGATAAGCATCTCAGTAAAAACCCACAGACAGCAGGCTCTTTGCCTCAGTCTGCTCCCCGCCTACATAAACAGGTTGCCCAATGCTGGGAACAGGTGAGGTCCCACCTTAAAGACAGCAATAGCGTAGGGGTGCGGGAGGTTGTCCAGGATGACGGAACGCTGCTGGCCGCTGAAAGTGATCCGCTCAATGCAGTCCAGGTAGGCATCCGTCCAGTAGATCCACTGCTCATCCACGGCGATGCCGTTGGGCCACTTCACATCCTCTGATACAAGGCGGTAGGCAGCTGAACCATCCATGTTGCTCCGGTAAATGCCAGGCCTCAGGTCCCCCCAGTCGGTCCAGAACATCACCCTGGGCGAAACCAGGGAAAAACACACATCCCATTAGAACTGGGGGTGTGCATGCTCAGTTGCTCAGTCATGTCCGACTCTTTGAGACCCCATGGACCACAGCCTACCAAGCTCCTCTGTCCATGGGATTCTCCAGGCAAGAATACGGGAGTGGGTTGCCACGCCCTCCTCCAGGGGATCTTCCCAACCCAGGGATGGAACCTGCATCGGCTACACTGCAGGCAGATTGTTTACCGCTGAGCCATTGAGGAAAGAATGGGGAGACGGACGCTCAAATACTCCTCCAAAGTGGCAAGCATTCGGCCAGTTAGTTCAGCCTTGATGCTGTAATCTCTCATTATACTACTTAAAGCCAGTTAACTACCTGACCCAGAGATTCTTCTACTGGTATTTATCTATGGGTAGAATCAAGTTATGCAAAGAGAGTGTACAAACATGTTCATCATCAGCAATGTTCACATTTGTTGTTGTTTAGCCATTAAATTCTCTAGCCATTAAATTTAGCTAGAGAAGCGTAGCCCACCACGCTTCTCTGTCCATGGGACTTTCTAGCCAAGAATACTGGAGTAGGTTGCCATTTCCTTCTCCAGGGAATCTTCCTGACCCAGGGATCAAGCCCAGGTCTCCTGAATTGCAGGCAGATTCTTTACCACTGAGTCACCTGGGAAGCCCATTGTTCACACTAGCAAAATATATACATATACAGGTAGGAGTGCATACAAATATATATATTTAAGTGTGTGTGTGTGTGTGTGTGTGTATGTATACACAAAAATATCAATCTGTAAAGTGTTACATTATGGTACATACAAAAGAACAGTAAAATGTCTAAAGACCTACATGCGTTCAGATTAAAAAATCTTCCAACCATATTAATATTTTTTAAACATGCAGAATAGTAAATATCCTATGATCCTCCTTGATGCATGTGAGTGCATATGTGTGTCTGTGTGTTAAAGGGTGTACACCTGTACATGGGCAAAAATAAATTCTGAATGAGACACAAGAAACTATTAACCATGATTACCTCTAGAAAATGTGAAAGCGAAAAGAAACAAATATTTTTCATTTCATAAATTTCTACTTTCTTTTAATATTTTTAACCAAGTGCATATATCACTTTCAGAGTTTTCTTTTAAAAACTGATCTCTCAATCATAAATGCTAGAAAGCCTAATCCAGAATTTCCCTTTTTAGGTATGTTTCCTTAAGTTAGCAATAAATTAATAAGAAGCACCTCTGCCTTTCCCACTTTCCAGTTTGCATATAAACTGCTGGAAGAAAATACAGGCTGGGGGCAGGAAAAAGAAGGAATGGTTTAAATATTTGTATCACATGTGAAACTCAAGATAAAGCCTCCTTACAATATTCAAGCAGGGCTGACTATGTCCAGAGAGACTTTAAATATTACTTTCTGCTAGGGAAACACCCCACAGCTGCAAGACATCTGGGCACCTAAAAAGACCGCGATGCTTGCTAACAGAAAGGGGATGGAGTTTGCTGCCCAGGAGGACTAAGCTACAGTTCCAAGACTTGCAGGTCCTAGATTACTTCAACCACAATGATCAGAAACAAGCTTTTGTCTAGCAGTTTGCATTTCCAGGAGACTCTGTGGTAGCCCTGGACCCACACAAATCCTCTCTGGGACCACACTTACCCATCTTGCGGCACGAGGACCAGAGCCCTGGGTCGATCAACCACAGAGGCATTGACAATGGTGAGGCGGAAGTCACCGTCTGGATGCCCCACCTGACAAATAAAGGAGGGGGAAAGGCTAAGAGGGGTCTGAGCTCCTTATAAGGCCCATGCTGCAAACTTTCCTTCTTGGGTCCCGCCTACGGTCCTCCATGGTGGCCAGATTCCCCTGCAGACTGATTTGGGAAACTTGCCCCCCTCTCCAGCCAGATTGAGTTGTTGCCTCCTCTGGCTCAGGCAGCAATCCTCACGGGGCCTGACAAGAGGAGCCAGTACCACCTGCACCCCTAGTTCTGGGGGTGTGATGACTTGCACAAAGTAAGTGCTCGCTGCGTGCTTATTTACTCTACCCGCCTCCACCACTCCAAGCTCCAAAGCCACCAACATCTCTGCTTTATCCATAAAACAAATTCTCAATATCACTACCTCACCAATCCAGAGTCCCCACATTCTCTCTCCTCTACGTCAGCCCCTACAACCTCAGGGAGACTGGTACTCTCAGGGATCCCCAAGTCTGATATACCCACTCCTGTCTGCTCTTGCCATGTATCCCCCCCAAGACCTGTTCTCTGCTTTCTAATCAAATCCTACCCTTCCTTCAAAATACCCCGCCAGGCCCAACTCCTCTGCTAACCTTTCTGATCCACCTTGATCAATGGGCATCCATAGTTCTCATCACTGACTCTTCTTTCACCATTTCACACACAGTATTTGAGCTTATACTGTGAGCCTATAGACACTCAAGCTTTACCTGCATCCTTCTAGCAAAGCGCTGAGCACAGTCGATTAAAAAAAGAGAGAGGAAGAGTAACGACAAGACCACCAACCCACGGCTCAGAATGTGCCCAGTGCTATGCATCCTTCCACCCTTCCTCTCAACCGTCCCATGAGGGGAACTCTCCAACGATCCCTGCTCGGGCAGAGCTCAGCTCAGACGTCACCTCCAAGACACCTCCTCTCCCCCGTCACGCAATCACATACCCCGTGTGATGTTCACTGCAGCACAAGGCACCAACAGGACAGATGGACTTATTTCTTTGTTATTTTGCTTCCTCCACTAAAACCTAATCTCTCAGCACAGAGACCTGCATGTCTTGCCTCCTGCTCTATCATCATGATCTAAAACCAGACCCATCACACAGTGTGCTGGGACACAGCACCTGCCAAGTGACTGATTGAACAATGGAATCTTCATCTTACGGATGAAGAAACTGAAGCTGAGAGGGGATAAGATACTTGCCTGAGTCATTCAGCTACCAGCATAAGGACTAGGGGACTTCGCTGGGGGTCCAGTGGCCAAGATCTCAAATTCCCAATGCAGGGGGCCAGGGTTCGATCCTTGGTCAGGGAACTAGATCCCACATGTTGTAACTAAGAGTTCACATGCCTCAACTAAAGATCCTGCAGGCTGCAACTAAAGAAGACCCTGAGTGCTGCAACTAAGATCTGGTGCAGTCAAATAAATAAAAATAAATACTTTTTTAAAATTTTTTTTAAAAAGGGATAAAGACTGAACCCAGGTCCATCTCTCGAGTTTGTGGCTTTTGCTGTGTGATTTGTCCTGCCTCTCTGGGTCTCCCTGTTTCTACTGCGCCTTCCACATAACCCACAAGTCATGCCTCCCCAGAGGTCAGCGTAAAGAGGTGTTGAGATGGTGCCCCAGGGCCCCAGTAGGAATATGCAGGAGTTGAGCATGCCTAGGAGCCCATGATCTCTTACCCCTCTCGGCCCTGCAGAGCTCAGGTGCAGACAGGTGAAGTGAGGAGGTGAGAGGACCTACCTTACAGAGCAGCTGAGAAGTGAATCAGAGAATTCATGCAAAGTGGTTCCAACAGAGAACGACCACATGAGGATGGCAGTCACAGAATTATCTTCATTACACTAACAGCATTTAATACTGGAGTGTGGATGTTACGGCATTATAGTAATGCTACAGTATCACTATCATTACAGTTACTACGCTATGCTGCTGCTAGCCCCAATACAAGTGTTCAAGTATCTTAATGAAATCTCTATTTGACAGATGCAGGCATCCTGTTTGCACATGGGACCACCTTTCTCTGCAATTCTCAGGGAATCTCCAGAGGAGCTGGACACACTGGCTTCCCCCTCTGTGTCAAATCTGGCTCCCAGCCCAGCACCTCCCTGCTTGCTTAATCACAGATAGCACGGAAGGCACATACCTCAATCTTTTTGAAGCCAGAATCCACCCAGTAAAGTAACTGGCTGAGGGGTTCAAAAGCCAAGGCTTCTACTGTCTCCAGGCCAGAATTGAAGATCACCTCCTGCCCCGAACTCCCATTCAAACAGAGGCGCTGAAGAGACAGAAAAGAAGAAGAAACACTGTGAAATGCTCACATGATCTCCAGCCAAATCAGTTCCATCGATGGGAACCTGTTTCTTCAACTGGCTTGACTGGCAAGGGCGGAGATGTTTTCTATTCGCCAGTATTCCAGATGCATGAAGCCATTTTTCACTAAAAGCATTTCTTAAATGGATTACAGCTTCCTGTTTGAAGCAGGATAACTTAACAGAACCGAGTGGTTTATATCTTCCTGCATGATGCTCGTGAACACTGGTCACTGAGCTACATTGTATCACAATAATGAGGTAGCGATGACCAAGATGCATGAGTCTGCTTGCTTTTAAAATAAATGAAACCCGATTGCTGTTATTTTTAAGATCCTGTGTCTGCTTTTTATAGTCCTTCCTCCCTCAGAGGCTCCAAGTCATCAGGTGCTGCCGCTTGGACAGCCTGCCTCCCCCTCCCCCACCTCCCCGTCCCCGCCTCCAATAGCTGGGCCCTGTAAAATTTCTATTGGGTTGGAAGTCCAGATAAAACTTGTTAGAATTGCTTTTATAAAAGGATTAAATAGGCAATGAAAAAAGATCAAATAGCTCTCTTTAAAATGCACGGGTCTGCAACTACGGCCATTTATCTGGACTGCCCAGCAATCTTTACAGCTTACTTTCTGGTTCTTGACTGTGCTCGGAATAGCTGAAGTGGATAATTACGTGAACTACAGAGAAGTCAAGAGTTACTATATCAGGGCTTGAAAAGAAGGACACAAACGAGGCAGTGGCTATGGTAGGAGGGACGAAGAGGGCTACATACTTAGCCCTAAAATCTTCCCAGCAGGAAAAGGGAGACCTCACTTACAAGCAAGAATGCAGATTTGAGGGCTCCCTTTGTTTTCCCTACAAGGACAGAGGTAGGCAGGGAAAGAAAACACTAGAACAGAAAACTGGAAAGTGTCATCCATTGGCCCTGAGATAAAACTTAAAAACCTCAAATACCCATCTCCTTAGAACACTCTGAAACAGGTTTACCAGGACTCAGCAGTCACAAGGCAGGGCCCCCACGAGCAGACCCGGGAGGACGCACCTGGATGACGTCCAAGGCCAGGTCAGACCAGTACAAGCAGTTGCGCTCATAGTCGAAGTCCAGAGCCACCGCTGACCGCAGCCCGCTGAGGGGCAGCTGCTCGGTGGCCCCCGAGGCCAGGTCGTAGCGATAGATGGACTTGCGCATGGCGTACAAGATGAACTCGTTCTCCTCTGCAGACACACAAGACAAGAGGGTGGTTCGGCCTGGGGGTGCTGGAGGGGTCCTCGCACGTCTAACCTACCTCTTTCTCACCCGTGAGCCTCAGAGCCATGGATGGCACAAGGCATGGATCAAGTGAGAACTTAGGGATCGTGACTTAGAAGGAGGGCAAAGCAATAACATTTCTGCCTCGACTAAGTTACTCAGACATCCATGAATCTCTGCTTTTTACTGCTATTTTTTTCCCCCAAAATCTGTGTCCTCCCCTGCCCTTCATAGTAGGCATGCTCCAATATCCAGCTTCAGAGCTCAACCTAAAAGTTTTGGTCACATGTGAAAATAGTCACACCACTCAGCACATTCCTCCTCATCACAGGATGGACCCCATCAAAAGTTTTGGTCACATGTGAAAATAGTCACACCACTCAGCACATTCCTCCTCATCACAGGATGGACCCCATCATGTGGCATCGTAATCTCACTGACTAGGGAAGTTGAGTCACTGAAGACTTATAGCTGAGTTTTCTAATCTGTTTGCTCACCCATTCAATATCGTTTATAAAGACACAGAGCAATCATATCAACATTCTATTTTCAAAGTAATAATACATATGTTCCTGGCCACCTACAGAATGTATTACAACACAATCATCATGAAGATTCTACTTCTACTTAAATACTTACACAACATACATACTATTACCAGGAATTGTTTGATCCCAGTGACAACTGTATAATGGGCTTCCCTGGTGGGTCAGACATTAAAGAATCTGCCTGCAATGCAGGAGACCCAGGTTCAGTCCCTGGGTTGGGAAGATCCCCTGGAGAACAGAATGGCAATCCATTCTAGTATTCTTGCCAGGAGACTCTATGGACAGAGGAGCCAAGTGGGCTACAGTCCACGGGGTTGCAAAGAGTCAGAGATAACTAAACGAGTTTGAGAGAGAGAGAGAACACCTGTATAATGGAAGAACTATTAACTCAATTCTACAAATAAGAAAGCTGAGAGCAGGGGTTAAGTAACCCATGCAAGGTCACATAACTGGTAAGTGGCCGAACCAAGAACCGAAATCCAGTGGTCTGGATCCAGAGTCTAAGCTTTAACACCCAAGGCTGTCTCTTGCAATATAGGCACCAATCTCTCAAGACAGAGAAACATAAGCTCAGAGTGCTTGAGAAACTGATTTAATGTCAGACAGCTAAGAACAGGAAGAGCTGGTGCTCTTGGTGGTCTCTCTCTTCCTCTTAGGGACCGGCCTGGAAAACATCTGGAGTTTCCCAAGAGAATGAAAATTAGCATCACACCCGCATCCATTTCTGAAGTGTCCATTGTGACAATATATTGCATCTGCAAGTGACAAATCTGGATCCCTCTGCTGCAAGCCTGCATGGTGATGGTTTTTTTTTTTTTTCTCTTTCTCTCGTTCCATTCTTGAAACATAAGTTAGCCACCTCTGCTTTATAAAGCTCCAATATAAATAATGCACTCAAAAACTTAAATCTACCTATAATTTTTTTTTTAACCAAAGGTAAATCTGCCCTCTTTTCTTTTGGTCTCACTTCAAAAGGATCTAAGCTACCACATGATAACAAATCACTCCCTTTGGTTTTCAAGAAAATCATCCCACTGTAATTCCCAGGAGATCAGGCAGTCAGATGAAAAGTGCTGAGTTTGTAAAAATGCTGGAATCCCAGACGCTGTGGCAGTGCCACATGGAGTTGTGGAGACGCATTCGCAGCAGCAAGCCCTTCATCCCACCTCTCTACAACATTTAGAAACCTCACTCTGTTGCTTTGGGATTTTTTTCTTCTAACTGACAGTGCCTTTTGAGTCCAGAAACACCCACCTTAGAATGTGGTATAGAGAAACAGACAGCATGTTGTGTGTTAGAAAAGAAATAGAATTGGTCAACCCCAAGCATCCATAAGCCCAGCCTAGAAATGTATGTCACTGTCCTAATCTCAAAGGAAGAAAAATTTCTTCACTTTTAAAAATCCTTCCAGATGACCAGATTATCTCATCTTTGCAAACATATTATGGTTCCATGTTAGTCCTATGAAACACTTTTTCCTTTCTTGGTACATTCCTGCCTCTGCTCCATGCTTTAAAAAAAAAAATTTAGAAGGTAGCCTACCATACCCTACCACCTTCCCTGGTAGCTCAGACAGTAAAGCGTCTGCCTAGAATGAGGGAGACCAGGGATTGAACCCTGGGCCAGGAAGATCTTCTGAAGAAGCAAATGGCAACCCATTCCAGTACTCTTGCCTGGGAAATCCCATGGATCGAGAAGCGTAGTAGGCTACAGCCATGGGGTCACAAAGAGTTGGACACAACACGGCTGAGCGACTTCACTTAACTCACTACCCTACAAGGGCTTCCTAGGTGGCCAATGCAGGAGACATAAGAGGCGCAGGTTTGATTTCTAGGTCAGGTCAGGAAGATACCTTGGAGAAGGGCATGGCAATCCACTCCAGTATTCTTGCCTGGAGACTTCCATGGACAGAGGAGCCTAGCAGGCTATGGTCCATGGGGTCACTGAAGTGACTTAGCATGCATACACACTACACCACAAAGGAGATTTTTTCCACTTATTCCCTATTCTATCCTCTCCTATCAGAAGAGAAAACAGCTTTCTGACCACTTCAGACAGCTCTAAACAAACTGTTTTGTCCCTCGCTGACATCTTCAGAAATATTTATCACCAAAGTACATGCTCCAGCCCCTTATGAGCAATCACTCAAACCCTGCTCACCCAGGCCCTCGTCAATAACAGCTCTCGTGAGGGGACTATATGAGTATTATCTGCTCGTTTGTGGTAATCTGCTGAAGCCGTGTTCTTTTAAAGTCTCCACGGTGAGGGATGTTAATTACTTGGGTAACGATGGAAGATTAAATTAAAGGACTAATGAGCTTAGCATGAAAAACACCAGGGTGAGCTGGCAAACAGTGAGCAAGCGAGAGCACTGCTCTTCCCCTCCCATGCAGGACGAGGTGGTTCTCTCATGATTCACGTGGTGCTGATGGCTGTTCCACTGGACGCCACCTCTGCTGAGGGAGTCTGCCCTAATCACGCACCTTTCCCAAAAGGCACAAGCAGAAGGGAGGGCTCAGAGGGAAGAGAAGCCCTATATGAATAAGACTAGAAACAGAGCAAAGAAAGAAAAGATGCCAAGAGATCAGCTCTTCATTAAGGTATCATAACTTCATGTGTGGGTGCGTGCGTGCGTGCTAAGTCACATCAGCTGTGTCCGACCCTATGAACTGTAGCCCACCAGGTTCCTCTGTCCATGGGATTCTGCAGGCAAGAATATTGGAGTGGACTGCCAAGCCCTCCTCCAGGGGATCTTCCCAGTATATTACAAATACCTCAACATGAACCATCACCACCGTATCAGCTTGAAACATTTGGGACATGCTAGATCTTAACATCATATTCACTTGCTCCAAGGTTTCTCCTAACGAGCCTGCATAAGGATGCATGCTCAAAGAATGGGCATGATGCTTGAGAGATGGTCAAGGGAGAGCATGGGGCTTAGAGTCTGAACTTTAGCTCTGTCACTGACCAGATGTGAGACCTTAAATAAACTGTTTGACTCTCTCCTCTAAACATGCTTCTTCATATTAAAAAGAATGGAGCTAATAATAATATCTGCTTCATTGGGTAGTTATAGAGATTAAATTGGTATAACACATGGAAAAGTGAACTAAAATGTGTAAAATTCCATTAAAGTATCAGTCACAATTATCATTACAAAAATGAAGACAGACCACTTAGCTACTTCCCAGAAAGCCATGAGTCTGATTCTCCGACAAATGGATCAAGAAGCATGCAGAAGACCTACAGGAGTTGCTCAGCACCCCCTCGCCTAACACACAACAGATGCCGAATAAACATCTGTCAACGAACAAACGGGATTTCCCTCCAATATCTTCCATTCCTATAAAAGCATAAGGACATAAATAAATGTCATTTAGAGACCACACTTTGGGGCAGACAGGAGCTCTGAGAGGCCTGTAATCTCCATTCTTTCTCCCCATGAAGTTGGAAGAGCCGGGAGAGATCACAGTAACACTTCAACAATGTCTCGACGAGACAAGTGGGAAAAAGTACGTCTCTTACCTGCCAAGGGGCACGGCACCAGCTCTCCTTCCAGGCGCATTTCGACATCTCCTCCACTGCAGGTGTCCCCAGAAATCTTCCGATAGCTGTCACCGCCCCCCCCCCCAAAAGCAAGAAGTCAGAAATATCAAACTGCAGTCAAAAAGGAACACGGACATTAGGGCTTATCTATTCATTTTCCTGCAGAGCAAGTAGGAGGATGTTGACTCACTCTGAACTGCTTCTGTCTGTAAAGCAACTGGGCAGCCCAACATTCTGAAGCATGGTCCTACGTGGGTTTCACATATACTGCTGACCCTTGAACAACTTGAAGGTTAGGGGCACTGATACCCCTCCAACAGGTAAAAATCTGCATAACTGCTCTCTCTCCCTCAAAATCAAAGGAATTCATAAATGACTCACCCAAAGGTAGGAAACTCAGTCAGTCTGAAGAGAATTGGGACTAGAATCCTAGTTCTTTTGATTCTATGTATTGTGATCTCTAATCAACCACAAACATTTCCCCACACTTAGTTAATTAAGATCTGTAAAATGAAAATACAGGTACTGTATTTATTGATTAAATTCCACCTATAAGTGGACCTGTGCATTTCAAATATGTATTGTTCCAGTGTCAACCATATCTCTTCAACATGCCACTCTGAAGACAGGCATTGGCTGAAGTTTATGACTTAAGAAGCAACTGGAATTTCAGAGAAGCTTGCAGACTTGCACTGCTTCCCCATGGGGGATGGGGTAGGGAGAAGAGTTTGTGAACGGCACAATGTTAAATTTTGTGCAAGCGACCTGAAAGATGCTAATGTGGAATTCTGTCATTGAGAGTATGGAAGGAACCCAGGTGGGCCCCTACACTCTCCTTGCCAAGCAGACCTGATGTGTCCTGGACACGGCAACCATGACGTACCCTCTGGTTCTCCTGTAAGTAGAACCCACGGGACAAGGCACGGGAGGGGCGTATGAATTCCCAGAAAACTCCGGATCTGGAACACAAACCTCCAGCGACAGATCTTCACTCATCTTGAAGCCGAAGTCACTGAAAAGACAGTCGGGGCTTGTCAAGGCTGTTGGTTTACACACTTCAGGTATTTAAGCCCCTCCCGTGTGACATCTACTCTATTGCCCCACACCAGCTTCATAAATCACTTAGGGACGTCCCTGGTGATGTAGTGGTTAAGAATCCACCTTGCAAGGCATGGGATGTGGGTTTGATCCCTGGTCTGGGAACTAGGATCCCACATGCCGCAGTGCAACCAAGCCCTTAGTCCACAACTACCGAGTCTGAGCACTGTAACTAGAGAGAGAGCCTGTGTCCTGCAACAAAGACTGCACATGTCACAACCAAGATCCAACAATGCTAAATAAACACCTAAATATATACATATTTAAGTTACTTAATGTGTCCCTTTAACAAATACTCACTTTTTCACACCAGTACATTTAAAAAAAAACTTTATATCAGAGCCATAATTGGAAAACCACTATCCACGCCATAAATAGACAAAAACGAGACAGATCATGATATCCAAAACAAAATCAATCTGCATTTTTAAGCTGGATCCAGTTCCCCACCCAGACTCTGGGTCTGCCCTCTCATTGTTAAAATGGATCAGCAGTTATGAAAAGTCTGCTGCATCTCACCCAGTGAGACTTTCTCCTTGACACTATTGAGAGAATTAAAAGAGAAATTTAAAAGAATAGTCTTTTTTCTAAACTAAGGCTTTGCTGTTATTTAAGACCATGTCCACTTACAACTTAAAATCACCCTGGCTTCCTCCTCACGTACTTTGGGACTCAGTCCTTTAGACCAGGAGACCTCCTGCTTGTGGGGACCACATCTCTGCCACTCCCACCTGCTAGCCAGGTAAAGCCCTGGGGTAGGAAGCAGGAGTCCCAGGTCTAGTCTTGGCTCTGTCCTGTTATTGCTTGTCAATGCCTGAGCTGACAGCTCTGAAATGAGGCAGCTGTCATATGTACTTCCCGAGGTCTGGCCTAAACCATCAACTCGAAATCCAAAGGCATTTTCCAGGTTGGTGTGCTTTACCCAAAAGGTTTCATTTACTCTATTACATGTAACACCTACTATAGGAAAAGGATTAACAGGGAGATGGAAAAGTGGTTCATGTGTATATTACATCACAGTTCACACCAAACCCTCAACAGAGAATTATTCGAAGGGAGGAGTTTTATTACTGTACTGAACAGGTCCCACTTGTTAAATCAGGCAAATTTTTACAGAGTGGCTGCTTTCAACCTTTTGGGGGACTAGGCAGAGCATTAATACTCCAATAGCCAACTACCCTTCATAAGCAGTTTCTTCAAACTGTAGGTCATAAACTAGTGAGCCTGTGAAAGCACATTGGAGGGTCTGGACCTGCTTCCTCTCCTCCCCACAAAGAACAGAAGACTGCAAAACTCATCGTACTTGAAAGTAAGCCTTAGCTCACAGAATTTTTGTTTATATAGATGTATGCCTGTGTCTACATACACAAATATGTATAGGTAAAGAGGCATACCATAAAATACACTGCTTACTAGGGGCTGCAGTCAAGAGTTTGAAAACCACTCTTATTGGCAACATTGGGGAATATAAAGATGTAAAAGAAACTTTTGATGTTTTCGAACTGTGGTGCTAGAGAAGACTCTTAAGAGTTCCTTGGACAGCAAGGAGATCAAACCAGTCAATCCTACAGGAAATCAACCCTGAATATTCATTGGAAAGACTGATGCTGAAGCTGAAGCTCCAATACTCTGGCCACCTCATGCAAAAAGCCAGCCCACTGGAAAAAACTCTGATGCTGGTAAAGATTGAAGGCAGGAGAAGAAGGGGGCGACAGAGGATGAGGTGGTTGGATGCCATCACCGACTCAGTGGACACGAGTTTGAGCAAACGCTGGGAGATGGTGAAGGACAGGGAAGTCTGGCGCACTGCAGTCCATGGGGTCACAAAGAGGCAGACATGACTGAGTGGCTCAACAGCAGCAGCAGCAAACTACAGTCTCCTCTTTCCTATCAACAGTCCCAGGAGAAACACCCATTCCTCCTCCAAGGTTCCTACATCTTTCCACCTCCCATTACAATTGTTTGTGCACATACTGTTCCTTCTACATTCTCAGGCAATGCCTTAGATATTCCACTCAAGGACTAATGAATAAACAAATATACATATGTATGTATATTTACACACACACAAATATATATATGTTCCTGCTTGCGAAGTTGGCTCAGTCGTGTCCGACTCTCTGCCACCCCATGGACTGTAGCCCATCAGGCTCTCTGTGCATGGGATTCTCCAGGCAGGAGGACTGGAGTGGGTTGCCATGGGGTGGGTTCCATTTCCTGGGATGTTTCCGACTCAGGGATCGAACCCGTGTCTCTGGTGTCTCCTGTACTGGCAGGCAGATTCTTTATCACTAGCACCACCTGGGAAGCCTACATATATATATATATATATATATATATGTATATATATATATATATATATATATATATATACACACATACACACACATCCTTGTTTCAGATAAAAAAACAAATTCCCTTGAAAATAGGGCCCCTAAGGAAAAGGAGTTATTCACAATGGAACCTTCAGCATGTTCCTTTCTTGGCTTGCCCTTGTGGAAATAAATCCCAGAGTAATCTATTCCTACATAAATTACTGCAGCATGCTTGGTGGGGGCAGGGGGCAGGGGGCAGGGGGCGGGCTGGGGGGGCTGGTGTCACATATCCATCACATCACACGGCTGACACAACCAAATGGAAAAACCAACATAAAAAGTGCCCAGCACAGCTCCTGGCTCCTAAGAGCTGCTTAATAAACACTTGTTTCCTGTGAGCCGCTCCCTTTCTTCAGGGGAAGGCAGACGCCCCAGCCTGTTGCCCTCACTGCTGAGGGACCAGAAGAGCACGCGGTCCCTGGCGTGGCTGGAGAACCAACCATTCATAGTCCTCGCGGGTGCAGGAGCAGTTGGATACGACCACCGGCCGGTCAAAGTCTTCTCCGTTAAAGCACGTGGCGTGGGGGGTCCTCCGCTTGAAGACAGTCTTGTGCCCCAGCAGACACTCGTTGCCCCGCTCATCAGATGGGGACCATAGCTTGTAGTCGTTCTCCGTGCAGGGGACCCCTGAGGAGGAGGAAATGTAGCATTACAGGCACCCTCACGTGGCGTTTCCTGTCCTGCCTGCCCCATGGCCCAGCCACCCACTTCCTGGGCCTCTCGCTGCCGCCCAGTGAGCGTGCAGGCCCTGGAGCCACCCTGACCCTCTCGCTGGCTGGCTCTGGGGCCAGGCAGCACCTGCCTCTAGTGTCTCCAAAAACACAGACGTCTGCCTGAGAAACCTGGGAGGGAGCAAGCCCCCCTGGTGCTCACAGTCGAAACTTCTGAAAGATTTGAGGAGATTCTGCAGTTTCCTTTAGAACTAGGTCCCCAGAGGTGTTTGTCTCTGGGGAGTTAGGTCAAGGCTGGACTCCCAAGAGGTGGCATCACTGAGGAGTACTATTCCCTATCATATTCCCAGGACGGCATGAACACATCTGTAGCTTGGCCCATGAGCAAGAGAATCCACTGTCACTGCTTGGAAGGTGCGAAGACCTTCATGGAAGGAGGCAGAGAATTGGTCAGACAACCTGGACGGTCACTCCATCTACTCACATCCACTCAAAATTTAAGAAGAGTGGTTTCTACAAGAATTCCAAAGTATACCAATGTCTGTATTAGTAGTTTATATCTTTTTTATACGTGTGTCTTTGGTTAGATTAAATGCTGCCTGGAACAGATGAATTACTGTCAACTCAACGCCATCCCAATCAGCAAGCATTTATTAAACCCTTACTGACCGTAAGGCTATCAGGCCATCCAGTGGGTAGAAGATAAAGATGCACAGAGAAGGTTCTTATACCTGAAGACCTATGATCCCGTTGATGAGGGACGACACGCAAAGCGTGGCAGACACAAATCTATAATTCAAGGTGTGAAGAGTACGCGTCCGCTCTGGACACAGAGAAGAGGGCAGAGGTCTGGTTGGGTTATTAGCAGCCAAGTGCATTGGGTCCTGATCCATGAAAAGGATTTCAGCTAGCAGAAACTGAATAGGTAGCCCACAGAGCATTCCACGGCAGCTGGAATAACGTCAGCAATGGCAGAGGAGCAGAGGGCAGGGTTACACGGGAGCAAGAAGGAAGAAGGATGCTGCAGAGGTTTACGCTCCCTGCTCCCTTACTGGCAGGTCCTGGGCCTGGGCCGGCAGACGGAAATGAGATCCCAGACAGCCGTGAGAGGACCCTGCACCATTAGTAGAGTTCACCCACCAAATGTGCCAAACTGGAACTGCTACTTTGGAAGAATGGTTTTCAAGCATTTATTCATTCACCTGTTTAGCACACTTACACCTAAACCCAGCCTGTACCCAGGACCGCACAGGAAACGAGGATACAGAGAACGCATGGCCCTGGTAAGAAGTGCCTGAGTAACTGCCTCTGGATCTCTCGTTCACTCACTGCATACATGCTTCCTTCAGTGGATTACAGACCCTTCTGAGAGTATCTAAGCTGATGTCAGTCGGAAAGGAGAAGATCTATGTATACGTACATACGTGCTGTCTTCAGTGGATTACAGACCCTTCTGAGAGTATCTAAGCTGATGTCAGTCGGAAAGGAGAAGATCTATGTATACGTACATACGTGCTGTCTTCAGTGGATTACAGACCCTTCTGAGAGTATCTGAACTGATGTCAATCCGAAAGGAGAAGATCTATGTATACGTACAGCTGATCCACTTTGCTATACAGTGGAGACTAACACAGCATTGTAAAGTAACCACACTCCAATTTTTAAAAAAAGGTACTTCCATGAAAAGGGCCAAGGAGGCAGGCGCTTACCCAAGGCATTTGTGGCATTGACCTGGAGGATCAGCCAGCTGTGGATGTTCTCCTTGTTGGAGCCGAAGATGGTGAAGACAGTACTCTTCTCACCAGGTTCCGTAAGGAGCCCATACACAAACACAGGTTTCTCCGAGAAGACAAACGTGGTCCAGGTCTCCCCTTCATTGGTGCTGTACCTGCCCAGATGTAAGAAGAGGATCCGTGCAGTTAGTCTGGAGGCAAGACCCTGGTTTCCAGATAACAGCCACCTGTAACAGGAACCAGGGCTCCTTGGGGCAGTGGCTGATCCTGGGATAACATCAGGGAAGTTTAAGGTTGTGCTAGAAAGCATGGAAACGCTCAGAGACTGATGCTGTCGATGCGAAAAGAAATAGAAGCCAGCTCCATGGGGCTCCAGCTGGCCAGGTTGGGACAATGTGAACTTTAAAAAAAGAGAAATGATGGTAACAGATAATACAATGAATGAAAACATGGTATGGGTCTGTACATGATAAAGAAAAAAGGGAAGAGAAGGGAAATTATTATATCACAGTACTACCTAATAATTGTTAAAAAACAATGACAGAATGAGAAAAGTGACTGTGTTGTAACCCCACTGCAACAACCAAGTCAGACAAGATTATCTCTGGATGCCAAAAACACTTGGTGAAAGAATGTTGGGGACCAGAGCATCCACATGGTCTAAAGATACCAACTCACTCACTGCAGAAGAGGAAACGTAATTTACAGTGGATGACCAGAGTTACAAATCTTGCAAATTTAGCAGCACTCGAAGTGGGACAAGACAACCTGATGTCATGTACCTCTCGGATAAAGCACTGAGGATGACGCATCATCTAGGCAAGAGTCCATGAACTGGATGAATTGAAAATGTGGAATGTTCTATGTGACAACTGGCCTGGAACCTTCACAACATCAAGGCTATCAAACACCAACCAAACAACCCAAGAGGCAGAGGAACTGCTACAGATTAGAAAGAGACTAAAGACAAATGTAAACCCTGACTGAATCCTTGATTGGCGTGGCGGGGGGGGGGGGGGGGGGGGGAATCAACAGCTACAAATAATATAGGACAACTGAGAAAATATAACAGTCTATAAGTAATACTTATAGTAAGGCCATCATCATTGGCATTGGATGGCATCACCAATTCAATGGGGATGAACTTGGGCAAACTCCAGGAGATGGTGAAAGACAGGGAAGCCTGGCATGCTGCAGTCCATTGGGTTATGAAGAGTCGGACACAACTTGGTGATTGAACAACAAAATAAGTCACACTAAGTTCATGATCATTTTCTCCGGCATGATAGCAGCATTCTGATTGTGTAGGAGAAGACCTTTATTTATGTAAGATATGAGTATTGAGCTATGAAGGGGTACAATATCTGCAACTATTTTTCAAATCATTTCCCCCTAAAAGGAGGGATGGATGGATGGAAAGATGGCAGACAGGATAAACAGATGGCAAAAGCAAAGCAAACAAAACATTAACAACTGGTGATTACATGAGGTGTAAGTGAAGGTAACGTGAGTACTTTTTTACACAACTTTTCCAACTTTTCTCATATTCTTAAAAATTAAAAGTTGGAGGAAAGTGTGTCCTGAGAAAAGGCAGACTACATCAGAAAAAGTGTGCAAGCCCTCTTGGGGACAAAAGCAGCCATGAATTCAATGTACTGATTTTAAATTAACTTTTGTATTCAAGACGAGGAGGAGGAAGAGGAGAGGAAAACGTGCCTGGTATTGGTGTCATCACCTAGCAAGCTGTTGAGAAGCTCAGCATAAGAAACCTCTCAACTAGAGTGGGTTCAATTAGGGTCACAGAGCTACTGGAACTCTCCAAAATCCAATTTAAACACAGAACTTTTCTTTCACTTTTCTCAAGTTTTTGAGATTTTACTTTTACTCAGGATCTTAATACTTGATGTAAATCTTTTTACGTCATTCAATTCAAGCACTTCCTCTTGAGATTACTAAAACTGGTACTTCTGCAAGGGGGCTACGGGTTAAACTGTGGTCATGGTGGGGGTGGAGTGGGGACAGCGTAGAGGGAACTGAGCGATCTCCTCTGCAGATCTTTCTAAGAGGAGAAATTCTCTTCCGGCTGACGTGCTTCTGGCTTAAGCTAATCTGAAGCAGATAAGGAGATGAGTTAACTTAGTCTCCTTCTTGGGACAGGGTGATGAGCTAAAGGCTTTCAAGCTCAGTCGCATCTGACTCTTATTGACCCCATGGGCAGTAGCCCAACAGACTCCTCTGTCCATGAAATTTTCTAGGCTAGAATATTGGAGTGGGTTGCCATTTCCTACTCCAGGAGATCTTCCCAACCCAGGAATCGAAGCTGTTTCTCCTGCAGGCAGATTCTTTGCCACTGCGTCACCTGGGGAGCAAAGGCTCGGGAGCATCCTCAGAGCAACCGGAACCCGCAGGGTCGGTTTGTCAACCAGACAGGGTGGAAGCTGCCCCTCTGCTCTGCGATCACACTGGGAGTCTGTCTACTTGCACACCATGTAGATAATTCTGTCGAATAGCTCCTCGAACCCAAGATAACCTCAGGAAATGAATCAGCCCATTTCCTGAGAAGTTCCCAGCAGACTCTGACAACAACATTATTGCTGAGACTAAAAGCAGGTGCTCGGCCAAGTGCAGCTTTATACTTAAGAATAAACTGTGCCTTTAGAAAACAGCGCTTTTTCAGAATTTTGGAAAAAGGGCAGTCACATCATCAGTCCAATAGTTAAGGGAACATCTATTCTGGGCTGAATTCTGGTCTCTGAAGGAGAACTTGTGTTGGTGAAGTGAAAATGACAGGAACCTTGCAAGAAAACAAACCAAGACATCTTTATATTCCTAACAGGCATGGAAGAGGATGTAGGGCCTCAGCCCTTAGGAAGGAAGAATTCAAAACATTCAAATAAAATACAGACATAATCTCATGGTCAAAACTCTCAAAAAGATGAGACTATATACATAATGATGATAATAATATAATATAACCAAGATACACTACAAGGGACGCAGTAGTAGAAACTCAAAACACAAATCCATGGTTCCACAGAAAGGTCCTGATGAGCTCAGACTTTTAAGCAACATATTCAAGATGAGAAAAGAGTCATATAACCAAGGGCAAAAACTTAAAGAGCCATAGCAATCTAATTAATTTCAGCTGTAATTCTTCACACTAGTAATCTGCAGGAACAGTAACCAAACAGCTCAAGCTCAAAATAAGCCAAAGATAATGCTTCAAATTACCAAAATAATTGGCAGATTAGTGGGCAGTGGGACATGGGTTGGTTTCCCAGCAAGTTCTATAAAGAATCAGAATGGAATGGGATCATCCATCTGATGGTTAATGGTATAAATAGCAATGACAGAGAAAAGCAGAAGAGGTTAGTCAATTTCTACGTTGGATTTATCTTTATTAAGGAGAATGATCTTCAAAGTGGACAAAGCAGAAAAAAAAGGAAGTTAAAGAAAAATGAATATGAAATAAAGCACATTTGAGGGAACTGAAAGATTTAAAGGAATGATTGCAAAGTTCCTTTTAATAATCTCTAAAAAGAACCACGAGAACAGATAAAGATCTCAAAACCTAGATGAGAAAAAAGTAGTTTTATTTCCCTTAAGAAGAAAAAGTGGTTTCAAGAATGGACTATGAAACAGCTGATTTGAGAACTTAGATACGAAGGAAGGTAGAGTTGGGAACACAAACATTTTAACACACAAGTCATAACAAACGAACCCTGTTTCTTTTTCTTGGGGTTAATTCTTGATTTGAGAACAAGGTAATGATAAGGGTGTTCCTGTCTTCATAAGGATATTCGTGGCAGTGGACTGAGGGGACAGTATTGACTGGGGAGGGGCATGTGGCTATTTTCTGGGGTGATGGAAAAGTTCTCCATCCTGACAAGCAACCTTCAGAATGGATTAAATGGTGTATTTAAGATAAGAGCATCTCATGGTGTGTAAAGGACATCTCAATTAAAAACATAATTTAGTAGAAGCAACCAGCTTGAGAAGGCTGTCAAAGTGTAAAAACAGTTTTAGGTTTTTATTAACAGAAATCAAGTCTCTAGGATCATGCAGTGCCAATAGGATGTGTGTTTCAGGCTGTTGGAGGCAGATCGGGCCCCCTCATCTTAAAACCCTGACAGTGTGAGAAGGACCCAAGAGAGAACCTACGGGGTGTAGATTCAGGATCCTACAGCACTGGAGGGAAGGAACTGGGGCAGTCTGCCATGGATGGGAGATGCTCTCCGGAGAACAGGCAGGGGTCCTCAAGCATCTGAAAGGCTTTCAGCAAAAGAGGAAATACCTGTTGGGTGCATCTCCTGGAAGCAGAGCTGAGCCCACTGCACAGAAATGGGAGTGAGGAAGATTTAGGCTCTCTCTGACCTGAGAACTTCCACTCATAAGGGAATAGATAAATAGAGTGCATGAACACATGAACAACGAATTGTCCCAAGCTGAAATAGAAGCTTTTTATTTTTCAATTTGGCGAAGTCTCCATCACTAGAATTATTCAAGCAAAGACTGGGTGATCATCCATCACGGATGACAGGCAATTCTTGCAATGGATGGCGGAAGACGGAACTAGAGGATGTAATGTTGCCAGATTCCTGCTGTGTATCTCCCCGTGGACATCCCACAGCCACGTCAGTTCCCCCTGTCCAAATGTGCACTCAGCCCCCTGTCCTTCCGGCCGACTCATTTTCCTCTGCTTTTCTGTGAATGATATGACAGGTCATCTTGACCTGTCACCCCTCAGCCCCTGCAAACTGTCTGGTCAAGAAGCAACTCCTACAGACTTAGTCCTGAAAATGGTTGGTCCCCATCTAAGCAACATCTCTCACCTCCAGTCTTGGTCCTTTGAAAATGCATGCTCCTGGGCTTCCCTGGTGGCTCAATGGTAAAGAATCCATCTTTCAATGCAGGGGGCATGGGTTCGATCCCTGGTCTGAGAAGATCCCACATGCCCCGGAGCAACTAAGCCCGTGAACCACGACTATTGAGCCTGTGCTCTAGAGCCCAGGAGCCGCAACCACTGAGCCCTCGAGCTCTGGAGCCCGTGCTCCTCAACGAAAGCAGCCACAGCAACGAGAAGCCCAGGCACTGCAATTAGAAAGTAGCTCCCGCTCACCCCGACTAGAGGAAAGCCTGTGCAGCAACAAAGACC